TCATGGTTGTGCAGCTGGTCCACATGTTGCTTACAGGCTGCAGTCTGGTGTAGGTAAACAACTTTTGCTGGAGACTACATGAAATGAATGTCTAGCAAAATATAATAGTTGTGGTCTAGCACAGCATAGTCTGCTATACTTGCAGAACAAGTGCATTTGACCCGAGGGGTTAACTGTTGGTAGTAGAATAATTAGTTATACTGAAAGGAAGATAGTCCAAAGTGCAGGAAACAAAGTCCGAAGGTATAATTATGAGTCTGAAGGTAAAACGTCAGGTCCGATGTTTTTCGGATTTCGGGTTGGCAGGTTTCAGCAGGTTTCATCAGATATTGTCAGGTTAGTGTTGGATTAGGAAGGGAATGTCAGTAATAGTGAATGGCGGGTTACTGACAGTGTTTCAGAATGTTTCGGATAAAGAATGGATGATATTTGTGGAATTCAGTGAAGAACCACAGATATCTAATGACCTCCTCCTACTCAGAGGTAGAAAGGTATGATAAGTAAGGAGGTATGCAAAATATATAGTGTCTATGTAGAATTTTGTAGTGCTATAGGTGAAAGTAGTAGCGCTAATTTTCGGGTCCGATGTCCTATGTAATAAGACATGTGGTACTGTGGACATGTAATAACGCATTCTACAATGTTAGCGATGTGAAAACTGATAACTGCACACCTAGTGGGGATAGATATGACAGGACAGGACATAGGGAGAACAAATGCGTGGGAAAATATCATATCTGAAGCGGCCGATGCATGGGAAAATTGGGTTTGCATCGGGTTAGCGGATAAATGTTGGATTGAGTGGGTGAGTGTCGGATAACATTGGGAAGTGATTCTTGTGCAATGGGCTTTTGACACAATGTGTGAAATAGCTGAATACGAGCCCAGCACTAGCTCAAGTGCTACACTGGCTGATATGAATGCTAACAGCTCTTGCACTTTGGAAGTTGCCTTTGAGGCAAAAATTGCAGCGGTGCATGATGGTTGAGCAGGAGATTGACAAGCCGAAAAGGCCAACCCATAAGTGACAGTTCAATTGAGTCTCACCTGGTTGACTTGTCACCCATCAGACATCAAAACTTTTTTCCTCAAGATCAGTGCCATCTCTCAAGATTGCAGGTCACACATGACTTGATGTGAGCATGTTGTTGATGTCACAGCATCAACGCTGTAGAAACAACAATACAGCAAGGCGTGAAAGAGGCTCCTGACTGTATCTAAAAATGTTGTAAGGTCATGTGTTGCCTAGTCTGCTATACTTGAGACAACAAGTGCATTCGACCCTAAAGGGGAAGCAAGTGCAGCAAGGATCTAGAAGTATGTGCTGAAGCGAAGTGTGAGAAAGCGCAGGTGTGCACAAGCCACGAAGATGCAGGAACATGCGCATGTATGTGGAAATGAGAGAGTGTAAGAGTGAGTTTGCTTAAGTGATGATTAGATGCAAGATAAGAGATGAGAGATGCGAGATGTAAACAAATAGATTTCTACTATGTTCTGCTAGGTAGATAGTGGGTGGAAGTTAGGTGAGTGGAAAAGTGAGGTGGTGAAAAGTAAGTCATAGTATGTACTGCTGGCGCTTATATGTGCTGCCTAAGCGCTGTCATGTGGAGCCGAAGCGCTACTGAGTAAGGTATGTGAAGATATATATAAGTAAGGGTCCATGATAAAAATAAGGTGGAACAATATGCAAATAAGGGCAAGTGGAAATATACGCACTAGAGGGCTTGGTGGACAGTGGATGAATGTGTCTGGATGGCTGGTGCTATAGGGTGCTCAAGCGCGGGAAAGTGCGCGCGCATATACATTGTGAAGCGCAGGAAGTGTGCGCAGGAAAGCTGCACCTCATATAGGGATAGCTGCAGATAGCACACAGAGTGGTGCTGCAAGTTCATGCAATAAACTCCCTAGTAAAAAGTGCCATATCACACCATGAGAGGTATGAGTCTCTACACTGCCCATCAAAGAAGGCTCTGTACCAAGGTATGCCATTGTTGATGTACTACCAGTTCTACCACTAACTATATTGTACATAGTCGAGGAAGACCAAGAACACTGTGAGGCATGCCACTACCCAAGCAGTCAAGATAAAATCAAGGCCACCTGTAAAAATTGAGTGGACAGAGGTGTGTTGTTGACTGTTGCATCAGTTGCCTACCACCTAACTATCTTCAGGTACACATGACAGCACATAGTTTTCATTGCAGGCTATCAGCCTGTCCAACAGTAGTGTACCAGACAATGGTCCACTAGATCTGTGGCCCTGGTACAGCAAGATCCCCCCACAGGATAAGCACATCCCATGGCCAAAATGCATCACACAAGTAAGCTCAGAATATCTTTGACTCTTAATATCTGATATCTGATCAAACACGAAGCAACATACACCAGCTCCATTAAGAACATCTGTGTCTGGGGGCTGGCAGGAAGACTCTCTTACAAAGGTGAGTCAGCTGCACAATATAACTTTAACTTGGATGTTGATGCCTTGTTTGTAAGGAGTCTAGTTTTGTGAATCATGAACATACATAGGTCCAATGATCTCAATGTAAGTCTCATTGCCTTCACCTCAATATTGGGGCACTCATAATTATGTTGAAGCCACTGCCTGCCCCACAGAAGCTGACAGCAGCACGGTGAAGGTGAGGAATCTTGACTATAGGTAAAAATACTTAAACTAAGGGGCTCTACAGCAAGACCAGGATACAAGAATAAGGCTCAACCCAAAGGACAGCTACTGAGAGAAGTTCCTTATTAATAAAGGAGAGGAAGACTCTGTCAACTAGATGGGTGATGACAGGTGTGCGAAGGTGCGAGAAGATAACATGTGTGAAGGTGCGTGTAAGTGATGTGAAGGTGCGCATGAGCGAGAGATGCAAGGGGCACCCATGTATGCAGATGTGCACTACAAGCAATAAGGGAAGAGCTTTCAAGTATAGATGAAGCACAAGCGATATTTGGTAGAGAAATAAGATCTGCTTTCAGGTACTAAGGTGCACTATACACTTTTGCAGTAGACAAATATATGGGGAGGTAAGTACCAGAACCAAAAGAACCCTCTCTCTATTTAAGAAGGGAGATTACGGTATGCAGTGCACTTCCGAGCGTGGTCCCAAACCAAGTAACCATATCAACTCTAAATATATTCTAAGTTCAAATAGACTCTGTATGTAAGTGCGGAGGTCAGACCAAAGACTCATTAATTCAATGAAAGAGATAAGAATAATGCACCAGTAAATCAGCAAGGACATGGGACAGATGGACAGACAGTAAGAGCGCAAAGACCTAAAGGAATGCATGTGAAAGGCGCGAGTGAGGCATTGTAGAGACTCATGGCTCTCATGGCGTGATATGGCAGTTTCCACCAAGGAGTACATAGCACGAACTTGTAGTGTCACTCCATGCGCTACCCGCAGCTATCCCTATACGAGGCGCAGCTTTCCCGCGCAATGCGCACACCATTCCCACGCTTCACGATGTATACGTGCGCGCGCATTCCCACGCTTGAGTGCCCTATGGCGCCAGCCATCCAGAAGCACCCATCCACTGTCCACCAAGCCCTCTAGTGCGTATATTTCTATTTCTCTCATTTGCATATTGTTCCGTCTTTATTTTTATCATGGATTCTCACTCATATATATCTTTACATACCTACTCGGTAGCGCTTTGGCTCCACATTACTGTTAAGGTCGTACTCTCGTAGGGTCAGATCCGAAGGACTTTGGCCTCAGCTCATACGCTGTGCCCCTTTCCCAAGTACTGTCCCTTATTTCAAAGTACTAACAGTAACGTGTCTGAAGGTCCAGACGGGTCTTGTAGTATATCCAGATGTCTTCCGGATATCGGAAACGCGTATAAGGCTAATCCGGACGTATCCGAACTAGAAACTAACAGAGTAAAGACTACCCGAAGGTAGAGCTGAGGATATAGACTATCGGAATCTATCCGAAGTCTTGGAGAGTGACAAGAGTAAGAAGGACTCAAGTCCGGAGGACGGAAAGAGGACAAACTAAGATGATATTCGAACTGAGGTACTACAGGACATATACACGAGTTTATATACTAAGAGGATAATGAAACAATAAGTAAGCAAAGGTCCGAAGGCTATGTATGAAGCATGTGCAAAGGTTATCAAACACGAGTCAGAAATGAAGCATAGGTTAACGGATCAGTAATCATACCAGTAATAAGTATAGCCGAAACACCGGGAAGAGGAAATACCGAATAGGCTGTGTTTAATATTAAATGAACAGGAAATGAAATAGGAAGCTTATCGGATATCGGATCAGAAGTGGATCTATGCATTGGACCAGACCGGATCTCAGGGTCTGAAGTCCGGAAGAGAAGCATGAATATATGGGATATGACAATTACAGCGCTTAGGCGCACTATATAAGCGCCAGCAGTACATAATGAAAAGGACTTTCCATTTTTTGCAACTTACTTTTCCTACCACTTACTTTACCTCCCAATTACCTGTTACTACTTACTTACTACTTAGCAGAACATAGTAGAACTCTGTTCCTTTACATCTCGCACTCTGACATCTCTTGCATCATATTATCACTTAAGTCTAGTCTCTCTATCATTTAGGCATGCGCACGCGCGCTTTCCCGTGCTTCGCGCCAATACGCGCGCGTGTTCCCGTGCCTCGCTTCAGCATGTACCTCTAGATCTTCACTGCACTCACTTCCCCTTTAGGGTCGAACACACTTGTCTCCTCAAGTAACGCAGACTAGGCAACGCATGACCTTACAACATTTTTAGATACAGTCAGGAGCTCATTTGTTCCTCTCTGTATTGTTGTTTCTACAGCATATATGTAGGGCGCGCGCATGCGAGAGCACGAATGACTGGTCCTTTGGATAAGAGCTGGTACATGTAGGGAATTAAGTGGGTAATAAGGCTGTATATCCAGCATTGAGAAGTGTGAGTCTCTACAATGGGCCAACAAGCTCATCCAACTCTGATGTGTACAGTCCAAAGGCAACTTAGATAACAACATGGACTTGACTGACAGTGAGCAAGTAGTCCAATGACAATGACAAAGACCCTATCAATCATGATGTGGATAACAGTGATGTGTTCACCAGTGGAGAGATATACTATGGCGAGGGTAACAACTATGAGGGTGAGTGGTGCTGTATCATACATTTGAATGGCAACTGAATGATCTTGCAGATTTGCACCACTTGAAGCACGTGTGGCCACCACCCTCAGATGATGAGGGTGACAACACAGAGTCGTAAATGGATGTGCAAGTCTGAAGATTCACCTTCCCTGCAGCAATGTGAACAGTAGCTTCCACACAAGATTCATCCGAGTAAGGGCCGTGTAGCAGTCCATGATTATGAAGTAGCAGTGCAGCAACTCATCAAGTTTGCGATCAGCCATTTTTGTGTCTGGCTTGCATCTGAGTATGCCTATCCAGATTGCATGACTCAAGTCTTGTGGGCGAAGGAGGCCTGGAAGGAGGCATGTAACTCTTATGAGTTTGAGATGGGGTTCAATGGTGAAATCATACAGATGGTATGTGATTGAGTTCTATTATTTCATCTGCCTAATGTCTTGTTGAAGATTACCCGGCGCACATCACATCTCACAAGTGAGGTGAAAGGGAAGGTTCGCCCGCTTGTCGAGAATATTTATGGTTTCGAGTCCACCAATTTGGAGTCCATCAAGTGCAGGAATCGCAAACTCGCCCATGAGCTCAAAGATAAATTTGAGTTGTGTTATCGGGTACGTTAATGATATCTCAAGTCATGTTTTGTACTTATGTTTGTTTGGAAGGACCTTGGGGACAAAAAGAACAATGTCCCTCACAGTGGCCTCTTTCAGTCGAGGTTAAATCAGCAAGTGGCAAATTTACTCTGGTACCGCAACAAGAACAATGAAGGGATTATATTTGAGAAAATTTTTTCACCATTTCCAATTCCTCCTTGGCCTTGGTGTACACCACAGTGAGTCATACTATTGTCTGTTGGCTTCAGATGGTGATATTGTTGGCTGCAAGCTGAATGCTGCATTGATGAATGGTATGATGGTGAACAGGTAGATATCAGTTTTTCAAGCGGTGATTATAGGGAGGTTTATGATAAGCATCTCACAAACCTCAAGAAGTTTCATACTCAAACAAAGGTTCATGGAATCCTTGATGGCATCCTGACGGAACTCAACAACAATGGCAGGTAAGAGCATTTCAAGGATTTGAACTTGGAAATTTTACAATCATTGCCCAGGTTGCATGCAAAGGTGGATCCGATTAACATTGGAGATGGAGACTGCCTCTCAGACAACAAGATCAACAATGCAATCCGGGAATACCAGCAGGTTGGTGGCGCAGATGACAGTGACAAGGTGGAGTCTGACTTGGAGTCTGAGGGTGGTCAATTTGAAGTTGGTGAACGAGTAGAATAGTGACTGCTGACTAGTATGAAACCATGAATGCATGCCATTGATCTCCCTGTTATTTACAAGCACACAAGTGCTTGAGTGCTATAATATACCACTGGATGTGTGCTTACTACAATGGTAAACAATATATCACTACATAGCTGCACTACATTGCCAAGGTACAAGATACCAGATGCTATGTTGTGCAAATAAATATATAGTCCGGGATACATGGTACTATATGGGGGGGAGATGCAACCAGGCCATAAGGGCTATATGTATAGCCTCTGTAGTGCTATGTCGCAGTTCCCATTTTTCCTGATGTGGGCTTTCAGGTCATGTGCGATTTTGACCAGCCAAGAGATATGTGTATGTATAATAGCACATTCACTGCAAGGGGAACTCTCAAATGCAGTAGGGTCGCAATGCTTTGAACAAGCACGAGATTCAGATGGATGTGTAATGTCGACAGTAAAAGGTAGAGTGTTTAGTCCACTGTGATAACTCTCCCAAGGAAACATCATGAAGAATGGCCACACATCATCTAGCCAGTTGATGGGAATACCAGTGCAAGTGTGCTCATCAAGAGTCAGAGATATCGGATATCTGATATTAGTAGCATAATGTTGTCAATGGATAAACAATTAATAAGAAACACACCTTTGATCTGATGTAATACTACAGGACCAGGAGACTGGCCCATCAAACATGTTCCCACCTGCAGGCTGTTTTTGTTTTTTTTTCATTAGTGCCTGTGTGCATTTTTTACTGCCTCGGTGAGTGCTCAAGGACTTGAATTGTCCTTCAGGCCACAGGGGAACATTAGACAGGATGCTCATTTGGGACCACTCATTGCAATCAGGACATCGAAGTCTCCATCTGTGTTACAGACTAATGCTAACTTCCAGCTGTTGGGCCTTGAACAATAGAAATAGAGAGTTGGGAGTATTTAATCTGAGTAGTTCAGTTGCATCAATTTTGGAACATGTGATTGTAATATGGGAACCAGAAGCTTCAGATGGGCCTGGAACTGAGAAGCCAGAGTTGGGAGAATCAGGTGAACAATTGGGCTCATGTTGATTGTCTGATGCTAGGGGTACTTGAAAGTCCAGGTCAGGGCTGTGTGAATGTCCTTCATGTAATGAACTCTCATCTGATGCAAACCATGAGGCATATTGAGGGGGGTACATTGTGAAACTTTACTTGTGGTGGGTTGAGACATGTCAGTATCTGAGACTTGAGACTCGTGACTACATGATGTGACACAACAGTATCATGTGCTTTACTTTTTTTGCATGTCTTCACTGATTTAGTGGATAACTTTTTTGACACACATTTTCAATTGAACAGACTATCTAAACATATTCTTGTGTAGTACAAACACCCCCCTTCCAGTATAAAATGAATGATTTTACGTAGATTTGAAGTTGGTATTGAGAAGCTCAGAAACAGTGCTTGAGAAGTGTGAGGTGGCTGTGATTTAAGGTTTTTTGCTTAGGTAAAGTTGAGCCCTATGTTCGGGATTTTGCGAACGCACGTCGACTGTGCGTGACTAATAAGTGTGGGAATATTGTCACTCAGGTGACTTTGTGATTCCGCATAGAAGATATGGAATCAGCTGTAACGTATATGAAAACAACCATGAGAGTTTACATTTACAGAGGATTCCTGACTTTTTCTCATCATTCTTACTTTTCTGGACGGTGGTTACTAGATAGAGATGGCTGAAGTCGTCTCACCTGCAGGCATTCTCCCTCACATACCCGACGACCTCACGCTCGCGCAGTTTATATTGGATACGGACCATGTCAGAAAACCTGTTCGTAAGAGTGGTGCTTGGATTGTTGATGATCAGAGTGGTAGGAAGATTGGGCTTGAGGAGGTGAGTCTGCCTGCCAGTGAAATTGAGCAACTCTCTGCGGGGTCACACGCAAAGTTGGTGTAGTTGACATGGATTGCTATTTCGGCCAATGGTTACAGTGGCTGATCATATACTTCACAGCTCAGGACTCGGACGTACGGTCTTGCTAACGCGTTGAGTATCCGCTACAACATCCGTGCGTTCTCTATGATTTCATGGCACCGAATGCCACATATTGACTCCTCTTGTTCCGCACAGAGGAGGATCATGTTGGTAATGCTATAATTTCAATAACTTGCAGGTATTGATGATCCCCCATCCTGCACCCCCGATAGTGTTGATCTACAGTCCAAATCATGTTGGTATGCGAATAGCTTTGATGCATGTGGTGTATGTTTGGGTTGACAGAATGAATTCTACAGATTATCTTGTGGCTGCTTGGGCGGCTCATAGACTTGGTGCTGCTGTGTCGTATGCCCACTTTCTCTAAGTTGCCTAAAACATTTTGAAATGCGCCCCCAAGCGGTGCCAACCCGCTATTCACAGTTGACGAGCTCGTGTATCAAATAAATACAGTGAAAGCAGCCGTCATCATCACGCACCCAGACTCCCTCAATGTGGCCTTGGCATCTGCATATGCTACTGGTGTATCTGCGGATCGTGTGATTCTTTTTGACGTCGAGGGCGCTGATACTACGCAGAGAGCGACTGTGCAAGTTTTGGTTTCGCAAGGTCTTGCAAGTGCTCCGAACTTCACGGAACGGAAACTTGCTCCTGCTGAAGGGAAGACCAAGGTGGCCTTCCTGAATTTCTCCAGCGGGACGACTGGTCGCCCCAAGGTGAGCGCATATTTCGCGAGGACAATTGGATGTAACTTTTACATGCTGTATATCAGGCTGTTGCAATACCTCACTACGCGCCGATTGCAAATGTCATTCAGCTTGCCACGCACCACAAGGTCGGTGAGGATTATGCTGGACAAAGATTCAAACCTGGTGACGTATGTTGTGCTGGTGCGTGCGTTGTCGTTTATCCAAAGGGTTCGGTTCGATTACCTGCGCAGTGCTTCCTTTATATCGTGAGCTATTACCACACTTGCAACATCATGATGTTGTTGTGAGACTGATCGTTGCCAGATATTTATGGACTGGTCTTCAATGTACGACCTCGTTTGACTTCAGTTATCTCATTGCTGAATATCTTGTAGGCCCATTATGCCTTTTTCTGCGGAGTACGTCGACACAGTCCGAATCTGCAGATGTACACTGACTGAAGTGCATACAGATGACGGTTGTTTTAACAGCGAAATACAACTTTCTACGGTTTTTGAAGAGCATAATCAAGCACCGTATTACCCATCTTATGTAGGTCGTCCGACTTTATTTGACCCCATCTGAACAAGACTTTAGGTTAGTTCCCCCACACATCGTACAGCTGTGCAAGGTCAGCGAGTTGTCCTGGAATGATCGCGTCCCTTATCTATCTACGTCTACCACTTAGCATCCAGCCGCCAAGAGTTACGATTTCAGTCACGTTCGATACGTCACCTCGGGTGCTGCGCCATTGTCTCGTGAGGTGATGGAGCAGCTTGTTGAGGTATTTCCAAATGCCGACCTAGGGCAGAGCTACGGTAAGTCCATCTTCAGAGGGTGCGCGTCCACATCTCATCCCAGCGGCCATAGGCCTTACCGAATCATGTACTGTTATAAGTACTTGGGCGGCGAATAAGAGATGTGACTTGAGTGGTGGTGCTGGCCAACTCCTCCCTGGTATTATCGGCCGCGTGGAGAAACCAGATGGTACTCTTGCGGACTTTGACGAACCTGGCGAACTTGTTGTAAAGACGCAGGCGCTTGCGCTTGGTTATGCAAACAACCTTGAAGCGTATGAGGTCATCTTTCTTGTATCATTCATATATTTATCGCAACGTGATCAGAACGAAGGAAACTTTCGTAAATGGGTGAGTAGGCAGGCGTTCAATCGGCTGGTGACTGATGTTCCGCTTTCAGATGGCTCCGTACAGGTGATGAGGTGAAGATGAACCGCGAGGGAGAAATTGTAGTCCTCGACCGTTTAAAGGTTGGATGATTGGCCTTAGGCCTTGGTCTCACCTGATTGAGCAGCCCTACAGGAAATGTTGAAAGTCCGTGGATTCCAGGTTGCACCTGCTGAGCTTGAAGGATGTATTCTGGACCACCCCGACGTAACTGATACGTGCGTGGTTGGAATACAAGATGAATATAGTGGAGAATTACCACTGGCATTCGTCGTTCTCCACCCTGACGCCACCAAACGTGTCGAAGAAAGCCCTCAGGCCGCGAACGAGATCAAAGCGTCGATTATGAAGGTTGGTGCTTCAAAACTCCAGTGAACGCGTTGTACTCATACTTCAACTTTACAGCACGTTGTTGATAATAAAGTTGGCTACAAAAAGCTCGCTGGGGGTGTTGAGTTTATTGATGTTGTCCCGAAAAACCCGAGTGGTAAACTGTTGAGGAGGGTGTTAAGAGACAAGGCTCGGGAGATGCGAACGAAGCCCAAAGCGAAGCTGTGACATGGTGATCCTCTTTACGAGTCCAGCATATGTACACCTTGTTTATTACTAATCGATGAATTGTTTCAAATTCCAATAAAACTGATCCATCGCGCCAGAATCAGAGACTCATCCCAGGGTTCTACCATCAATCGTGTTGGACAAATAGGCATGCTACTGTGACTAAAGAAACATACGAACTGCCTGGGCCCGGCTCGCGGCCCGTGGGACTCAGATAGAATCTACACGGTATTCTTCCGAAGAGCTCCCCAGAATCTGACGTGTACAGACTCCAACACCCCAGATCCTTGAGCTTGAAGTTGCGGGTGCGAAGCAAATCCGGACTCCGCCGAAGGAGAGTGCTTCTGATTTGCAAATTGAATCATGGTTCACAAAATTTCAGTTAGCTGTAGTTCGAGTAACGAATTTTTAGCCTCGTAATACGTGCATCTTTCTGTGGATAGCGAGGGTCGACAATTGTTCGTAAATTGAACACTCCGAACACGGTTCACAATCCAGGACTCGCGTTAAGTTGGTGCAGCCGCGGGGGCTGACCTTGAGCAGTATGTCTCTTCAGAATTATCCACCATTCTCAGTATTAACTACCCTCACCTTCCTTTTTCTGAAAAAGTCAACAACTGGGATGACCAACTCCAACTGTTATATCGATCGCCTGCCGGACGACGCGCTCCGCATGGTTTTCGAGTCGGTCTGTGAAAAGACCAAGCCGCCTTCCATGATTATTCTATGCAAAATGAAGTGCAGAAAGGCAGGTATTGGGATGATTGGCACCAAAATCAGTGTTGGTATGATGAGTCGGAAAAAGAATCCAATGGCCCTCCACCATCGGCTCTCATTGCAGCAATGTGTGTGTGCAAACGTTGGCGTTGTCTCATGTCACAGATTCCAACACTGTGGACTGTGTTACAAATCTCCTTTGGCGACTGTGCTGCGTCTCTTGAAAAAGTGCGCACTTTCCTAAAACTTAGTGGAACACATCCTCTCAAAATCACGCTACTTTGGAATGACCCCCACAATCCCTTCAGCGGAGCCCCCAGGCGGGCCTCCCTTCTTAATCCGTATCTCCCCGAACCGGTCGACGAAAGCGTAGCTGGTGCTTACCTCGTCCTGATCATCCTGGAGTTACATGCTCATGTGCACCGTTGGCGCGAGTTTACGCTGAGGACAACCTCAAAAATGCACATCCGTCAAGCGCTTGTACTTATTTCGCGTTCCTCCGTTCATCCAGCCCATATGCTAGAAAAACTGCATGTTCAACTCGTACACGACCAATTGAATGTAGACCCCGACCATCATGAACCGTTGATTTTTCCTGGTTCAGCACCTCCCATCAATGATCTTATCCTTTTTGGCACAAGTTGGTCCTGGCTCTCACCCTCCATATTTTCACCACATCTCGTCAATTTGCGAATACACTACTGCACAAGTGGCGGTAACATAAATATAGCCACTACAGTAGATGTTTTGTTGCAACTCCTTGGTGCACTCGTCAATCTGCAGACCCTCGCACTCGAATTGGATATGGATCCACCTGAAGACATCATGTCTCCCATTGCACTACCCCGCTTGCACTACCTAGCTATGAAATCGAGGAAGATGGACTGTTGGATTGCAGATTTTCTCCACTATGTTCATATGCCCAATCTTCGGATATTGACCCTGGATGGCGCTCTGGGTCAGTTCGTGCTGGTCGAGATTCAATTCGGAGGTATCCTCCAAGGGTTGATCAGGCTTACCGACAAAAATTCTTCTAGCTCTCTTCTAGAGCTGGATGAACTCCATCTCGTTAATTTCGCGCATCGTGCAGATCCTCAGCTCCTTCATCGCCTGTGTAAACAAATGACTAGTGTCAAGGTATTGACACTGGGGCCAGGAGGGTTCTATGGGAATAATGCGTTTGCAATGGGACTACTCCCCACGTCTCGCGAACTTGCGGATTTCCCTTTCCCGGGACTTCGGACCCTGATCGTTTTTGATATTCCAATAAGCTTCGTGCGGCGCATCGTTCTAGAACGACTTTCGCTCGTTGGTCCGTTGGAGGAGCTTTATTATCAAGAGCCTGACAGCCGACCGGTACCAGAGGAGGAGGAGGAGGAGGAGGAGGATATAATTGTCCCAGACGATTGGCAACATCAAGTCGAGAAGTACCATCATATTGATAATCTGGAATCTGATCGTTATTGTGATGTAGTTAGCAGGCGGTGGTCGTACTTAGCCTAGTACCTCGATCAGTCCCCTACTGTGTTGCGCGTGTCGCTCATGACTTGTGTCGGTATCCCCGTGCCTTCTTGTGCTGCCAAACTGATTTCATTAAACTATGTATGTCCATTCTCAATACTCATTCGATGTTAGCAAGCGGGAGACGACAATCAGATGGGATCCTCTCTGTGGCACTATCAACTCAGGCCGGTGTTCGTGGTATCTCCTGGCGTTCATATCCTTTGGCTGACGTGAGACTCGGAGGTTAAGCGGGATCATCGATCAGCGCTTCAGGAGTCGTTGCGGGCTTCGTAAACGCTGCGAATAGTAACGACTCAGATGCGCCACTGGACGTCTGGCGTGGCAATCTGGCTCTTGCAAACAGAAGCTGGTGTGGCCTCAATCTGATGATAAACGATACCTGCGATAACGCCCAAAGCCACTGCTGGACAGTGGAGGGTACCCCACTCCATCACCGCAGAACACGTCGTCATTTTCCCGTTCTATGTTTGGTTCTACCTTCGACTGTGCGAATCTTTAACTTCATGCAGGTGCACTGTTCGTACCAAGCCTTGTAAACGAATACAAATCGGTTCCCACATGTGGGCGCGAATCGGCAAGTTTGGGTATTATGATATCTGTTCAGATGGAGGTTGGTCCTTATACAAAAGGAGAGGCTGTCTCACTTCTAATAGGTTCTGCCTGCGGGAGACTACAGGTAGGTATGCGGTGGGTGGGAGTGCCTGTTGATGCGGAGTGCAAAATTGGCATGACCTTCAGATACTCGCGAGATGACAGGCCTGAGAGCAGGTGACCTTTGAAGTGAGCACGAGGACAACACATAGGCTGCGTACTACCCTACAAGACAAAACTTAAATGGACGTGTTTCTAACTTTCTTAATCCAAACGTCCACTATCTTACCTTACAGCCCGGCGCCCGCGCCTCTCGCTGATGATTAGAGCACTGAATTGGTCTGAACGGTACTTCACGTAAGTGACCCTCTTCTATACGACGAAGCTAACTGCTTGATTACCAGTGACTTCTTCTACGTCCCGCAAAGTTTCATTGCACATTCTCGCACCGCACTACAGCAATGTCTGCACACACAAGCCATCTTGTGTTTCAGGACTGAATTCGTTCCAGTAAGCAGATCTTTTGCAAGTGTGCACCTGTATTGACAATAATAAAACAAGCCTCTTGACTCACCAGCAATCTTTGTCATTGCCAGACAACCCATTTTAATCCCAACATCCCGGGAAGTTGCACTCACTTATGTTAGCCACCATCTGCCGTGGTCGATACCCCGAGCGTCGACCAGTCTTCCCCCATCGCTGAGATAACAGAAATACAAAGACGCCAGCGGTCGCCGGTCAATCTTTCAAGCCCTGACAGACGATACGAGGCCAGGTACAAAATGCTGTCAACTTGCTTGTCGGAAAACGCATCATTACATGTTTGGATGACAGCTAGCTCCGATTACAGTGGGACCTAGAGAGCGGCGTGTAAATGAGGGCAGGGAAATGGGCAGGGGCGTCTAAGTGCAACTTGAACAGTGTCTCCTCCAAGCTCAAGATCATGTGGTATGATCAGGATGGTGGGTGGCTTTGACTTGGGGATGGACGAGGCGTACTGCCAAGGATTGGTATCACGGCGGCCGCATCTAGTGATGTCCACCACCAATCAAGATGACCCTTATTGTATGACTACACAAGCATCGGTGATTAAATTTCAAATCTTAGTACTTCGAGAAATAACGGTACCTTGCATGATACAAACAGTACTTTGATGATGTGTACATAGCACGTGTACTAGATGCCGCGGCTTTACCCCTCCAGACCGTGAGAATCCACCGTGCTGAAGTCCGTTAACCCGCATCTATCAATACTTCAACAATTATAATAGTCTACCATTCACTAATGACTTCCTCGAGTCCTCTTATCGAATACCCCACATTTCAGATCCCGTCCTCCTGCATTAGAAATGCCTGAAATATTCACTGAACCGCTTGACTCAGTAATCCCTGACGACGTGACGCTAACCCAGTTCTTCCTTGACTCCCACCACCCACGTAGGCCGGTCCGAACCGATGCACCATGGTTAATTGAGGACGAGACTGGGAGGCGCATTGGATATGAGGAGGTGCGTGGAAATCATTAATTATATTACAGTAGCGATTCTTACTAGGCGCCTGCCCATCTGGCAACTTGAAGATCCGTGCACGAACCTTTGGATTTGCAAACGGGCTTGCGTTGCGCTATAGTATTAGTACGCGCTGTTTAACGTTCCTCAGTAGTAACTGTGTGTCCTAACAGCATACATGCAGAAGAAGAAGACGTCGGTAGGTGTTGGCCATCCAGCCCGACTACATCCTTTTTATGATTGGTCTACAGTCCTTATCTTTAGTCCTAATCATGTTGGTAAGGTTTTCTCTCCACTCCCCCATCGGCTTCAGTTAACCGTCGCCCGTAGATTATCCACCTGCAATATGGGCCACGCACCGACTGGGTGGAATTGTTTCGTGAGCCCAGCAAATGATGACATTCTTACCCTCTCAGGCTGATCCGACCGAAACATTAAAGCGGCGCGAATCCGACATATACAGCGGAAGAACTCTCACATCAGATCCAGGCTGTGAAAGCAACGCTGATAATTGCACATCCGTCCTCCCTCCATACGGCCCTCGATGCTGCACGCGCAGCCCACATACCTTCTGATAGAATCCTCACTTTCGGCGAATCGACTCAGCCAACTGTAGAGAGTATCATCCAGCTTGGACTCAGTAACGAAGCTGCCTTTGTCGAGCGAAGATTGAAGAAGGGCGAGGGCAAGACCAAGATCGCATTTTTAAACTTTTCTAGCGGTACAACAGGTAAACCTAAGGTGCGCTGTTGTCTAAAAGTATCGATACCGAGTAGCTGCATAAACCAATAAATAGGCGGTAGCCATTGCCCATTATGCACCCATCGTCAACGTCATCCAAATAGCCCAATACACAAAAGTCAACGAAACCTATACTCCTTGGGAGGAGCAGCGGTTCAGACCAGGTGACATAGCCGCTGGAGGTGTGCATTCATCCTAGTTTTTTGAGATTACGTCTGACTCACTATTGCTCAGTGCTTCCCTTCTTCCGTACGTCTGTTCATTACATGTATTGTATGTGACGTTACACACATGCCTTGTACAGATATATATGGCCTTGTATTCTCCGTGAGTGCAAGCTTCCCACAACGTTCTGAGAATCTGCCGTTGACCTCCGAAGAAGGTTTATGCGGTGCCATTTTTTGGAGTAAGTCCATCGCGCCGTGTAATTTCCAGGGTTAATGCTAGGGTTGCTCACTAGATGTCGCTGGTGGTCACCCCAAAATTCAGCTTCACAGATTTCTTAAGGAGCATAGAGAGGCACAATATCACTCACCTGACGTGAGAATCTGTCTTCCTGTGGTCGAAAAGCGCGTTGATTATTGACGTATTGGCTACCCAGACTCGTTCCGCCTCAAATTGTATTGCTTTGCAAGGTCAGTAAACGTAAATTGATAGGACATTGATTCTTGTGTACTGAGGAACGTGAACCCAGCATCCGGCAGTCAATAACTATGACCTAAGTGCCATTCGATTTTTGATCTCCGGAGCTGCACCTCTTTCAGCTGAGTTGGTGAACCAGCTCATGAAAGTAATCCCCAATGCCCAAATTGGCCAAGGTTACGGTAAGTCCGCTACTTCTTGTTCCCTTGACGCTGACATTTACTGCACCCGGAATCTAGGGCTGACCGAATCTTCTACATCGCTCACAATGTTCTCGGTGGATGAGAAAATAGGTATCCCAGGTGGTGCTGGACGGTTTCTCCCAGGTATAGTTGCCCGAGTAGTCAGGCCTGATGGTTCTCTGGCTGGCTTCGATGAACCAGGCGAATTGAGAGTGAAGACGCCTTCCTTGGCATTGGGATATTGGAACGATGAAAAAGCAACAAATGAGACATTTGTTGAAGGGTGGCTTTGCACCGGAGACGAAGTTATTATACGTGAAGACAAGGAAGTTTTCATCGTCGATCGATTGAAGGTATTCTACTTCGAATCTCTGTTGCAATGGCTGATCCGTCTATCAGGAAATTATGAAAGTCAAAGGATTCCAAGTAGCTCCTGCCGAGCTAGAAGGTTGTATTCTAGATCACCCTGATGTGGCAGACACGTGTGTCGTGCCTATACCTGACGACTACAGCGGAGAAATCCCGTTGGCGTTCGTCGTACTTCGTGCGTCTGCTGCGAATCGTGTGGGCAAAGACTCCCGTGAAGTAGACAAAGTAAAAGCGTCCATAATGAAGGTTCGGCCATCTCATGTCAAAGCGATGGCAGTCGGGCTGACGTCGTTATTTAGCACGTCTCAGACAACAAGGTCGCATATAAGCACCTAGCGGGAGGCGTGGAATTCATAGATGTTATACCAAAGAATCCGAGCGGAAAGTTACTACGACGGGTGCTTCGTGATCGAGCTAGGCAATTGAAGGCAGGAGAGCTCAAGGCCAAGCTGTGATATGTTTTATACAATGACGGTCAATCTAAGAGCTGCCAGAGGCTATATATATAGCTTGTCGGGCGCAGTTAACTTACCCCCATCCGTACTTCAAGGACTGAACTTGCTCGCTAAACATTCGTTTCTCGCTCGCATGAAACTTTCGCCTACCCAGTACTTCTTTCTTTGTTTTTTCATGAAACAGGGAAAAAGTAGTACGATTGTGAGTCAAATTTGAATGCGTTGCAACTAGTCAACGTGCTTGTTCTTTGGCCAGCTGGCTGGGGTGACAGTTCGGACACCGTTCCTAATCCAAACTGACACTGAAAAATTTGAGATCCTGCCGGACAGGTCACGCGAAGTACTTGGCATCCCGTAAGCCATAAACCGTCAGCACCCGTCTTCCTTCCTACTCTCTGCATACCCATATTCTGCAAGCCCTTCCATGTCTGAAATTTATGGTCCGAGTCTCGAGACGTCTGTTCCCGATGACCTTACTTTACCTCAGTTCATCCTCGACTCGTCCCATCCATTGAGGCCCATCCGACCGAGCCATGTGCCATGGTTCATTGAGGATGCCGGTGGCAGAGGTGTCGGACATGAAGAGGTGTGTTGCGTAGTTCACAGCCATGACGTCAACAATATTGACTGTACGCTCAAGGTCCGTGCAAGAACTTATGGACTCGCGAATGGCCTGAGTCTGCGGTTTCGTGTCAGTGAGTTCCGTCAAAAGGGTCATGATCCGTAAGCGCTTCTTTTGATAATTTCATTTTAGAGGAGAATGATCTAGGTGTGTGCTTGCAACGCGTACTTAGGCGCCCCGGGCCATACCATATAACGTCGAGACTCATGTTGGCTGTGCCTTAGTACTCATTTTCAGCCCAAACCACATTGGTATTTCAGTGCTAGTCGTTTCTAGACATATACTCACCGCTTATTGGACATAGACTATGCGGCGGCCATATGGGCAACACATCGGCTAGGTGGTGTCGTGTCGTATGTTATGCACGCTTTCTTCGAACCTCCCATCTGATCACAACCGGACTTCTATCCCAGATGCGCAAATCCAGCGAATAACACCGGCGAATTGCTGTATCAGCTCAAGGTGGTCAACGCGTCTTTAATTATCGCGCATTCCTCTTCTTTGCACACTGCTCTGGGTGCTGCTCAGGCTGCCGGTTTGCCATCCGAGCGCGTCATCACTTTCGACGAGTCGAATCATATATCGGTAGATGCTCTTATTCAGCAAGGGCTGCGGAGTGAGCCCAATTTCGTCGAGCGGAGGTTGCAGAAAGGAGAGGCAAAAACGAAAGTTGCATTCCTCAGTTTTTCGAGTGGCACAACGGGAAAACCAAAGGTGTGTCAAGTCTTGGGTTGATGGATGAAGCCTCATACCTATGATCGCGATAGGCCGTTGCAATACCACACTATGCTCCAATCGTGAACGTGATTCAGATGGCCCAGCAACAGAAGGTCAATGAGAACTATGCCCCTTGGGAAGAACGGAGGTATCGGCCAGGGGATGTAGTCGCAGGAGGTGCGCCTTTATAGGCATGATGTGACGTCGCTGACCCTCTCTTGTAAAGTTCTACCTTTCTTCCGTACGTGACCTCTTTCCATTGTATATCGTCCAACAAACTGAAGTATGTAAACTTTTCTAGATATTTATGGCCTGGTGGTGGTAGTAAGTTGGATTTCTACAACCCGATCATATAGCTTAAACGCGGTTACCTTAGATTAACTTCATGACGTTTTGTGGTGTGAGTTTCCTTGATTCCTTACCATTTCTCTTTCTCAACTCCGTGCAGTTATCAGTTGTAGTAATACCCAAGTTCAACTTCACGGAGTTTCTAGAGAGTATTGTGAGACATCGTATAAGCCATCTGCTGTGAGTCGCCACCATTACCATGACTTATCATAGTAATCCTAATTTACACACAGACTTGTACCACCTCAAGTTGTATTGTTTTGCAAGGTTAGCGTCGACGTTTGCGATAACTGATTACTCGGCCTGATACTCCTGGCAGCACCCTGCTGTGAAAAATTACAACCTGAATGGTGTCAGGCTCCTGATGTGTGGAGCTGCCCCTCTCTCCGCCTCTCTTGTTGACCAGATAGTGAAGATTATGCCGAACGCGCAGATAGGTCAAGGTTATGGTAGGGCAGCTTTTCGACCAACATATCGTCTGTCTCATCATTTTTAAGGCATGACCGAGTCCGCCGCTACTATCGCAATGTTTTCCGCGGACGAAAAACTTGGGGTTCCTGGCGGTGCCGGGCGCCTGTCACCTGGCGTCGTTGCCAAAGTTGTCAAGGACGATGGCACCCTAGCGGGATTCAACGAACCTGGAGAACTACAAGTGAAAATTCCGTCTATGGCGCTAGGATATCTGAACAATGATGAAGCGTAAGTAATCATCTATGGCATATATTGCTTGAGCTTAGTTGCTGCTCAACAGCACGAAAGAGACCTTTGTTAATGGTTGGTTGCGTACTGGCGATGAGGTTATTATACGTGAGGACCTTGAAGTGTTCATTGTTGATCGCCTGAAGGTATGCTGTCATACTCCCATCCTTGTATCGATTTTCGAAAAATTCAACTTTCTTTGCAGGAAATCATGAAAGTCAAAGGATTCCAAGTGGCTCCTGCAGAGCTGGAGGGCTGTCTTCACGATCATCCTGATGTTTCAGATACGTGTGTAGTGCCAATTCTCGATAGCTACAGCGGGGAGCTTCCTATGGCGTTTGTAGTACTTAGTCCCAACGCAGTTAAGAGGATCGCCTTGGATCCTGCTGAAGCCCGGAGGGTTAAAGTATCCATTACAAAGGTTAGCTCGTACTTACCAACTTTATCATTTGAACCAGACCTGACTGTTAACTTTTTAAAGCATGTGGCAGACAACAAGGTCGCGTATAAACACCTTGCTGGCGGGGTGGAGTTTGTGGATGTAATTCCAAAAAACCCGAGTGGGAAGCTGCTGCGTCGTGTCCTGCGCGATCGGGTGCGTGACTTGGTACGACCGAAGTCGAAGCTGTGATTGGATTGTTACTATCATCGTATGTATCGTGGTTGACGTGTTCGCGTGATCTCATTGGTGTTCTATATCCAGTGTGCATTGTTTTTCACATCCAGGGTCCCCTCGAATTAGTAACGTCCAATATTCGAATGGCCATTACATTTTGTGACATATTCTAAATTTGTAATAGCGGGGGGGTTTCCCGATGGCGGTGTCAACTGGAGACACACTATACAGTGTGATACTCAATTGATACTGCAGCGATCCCTCTCATCTATGTCATACTTTAAATTCTGTCTTCTCCATCCAAATCGCTAAGTTTGCAATCACCCAACACCAGGCCAACTGGCCAGCGTAGCACCTGGTTTATCCTTCGAGCAAATTTAACCCTATAGTACCTAATAATGTCAGATAGATACCTTGACACCACCGGCGTTACGCGCACAGGTAATTGTAATTATTAACAAACCATGACGATCGGCCATCAGGAAAACCCACAGTCAAGCCTGGCTCCTCGGGCGCGACAAAGATCGAATCAGTCACTGGGTCTCGTTGTCCAATGTGACTTTAAATGGTACGTAGTTGGACCTGCCGTGTTTTTACCACGGGGTACTTGCTAGTACTACCTACCAGGATGTAGGTCGCTCGCGTTTATACTTGACCGATGAATGTTGATGAAGGACTCTAATTGACTCACAGTGACCATACTACATCTTGTGGCTGTTGCCCAACCCAGCTGTCAGAGAGCTCGTGGGGCGCCACAAATTATACTTTGATGTGACTGCTCCTATCTGCTCCAATGTTCGTTGCGACCTGTGCAATGTGGCCTGATCTCAGAATCTTTTCAGTGCTAGTCTCGGACTTAGAATCACAGGGCCGTGATGTCACGCTAGCCCGATGGCCGATATAACATGTGCTTCAACCAAACGCGTACCCTCGGCTTACGATCTGCATCAAATGGAACCATGCCAGTGCGCATCGCAAGTCTTTTTTTAAATCCAGTTGTCCATCAGAGAAATGATCAAGACATCTGCGCGGGATTCGCCACATTCGTAAGACCTCAGGTGGCAATGCATTAGCTTCATGATTATACTTAATACCGTAACCTACTCGTGAAGTTTAGACGCTTTGCAGTCTGCAGATTACGACTCACAATGTCTTTCTCGGGGCAGGACCTCACACCACAGATTAACATCGGGAAAACGTTCGGGGCACTTTTTATTGGGGTTACCATTGCAGCAGTGTTCGTAAACGATTTGCTCATTATGCAGTCAAAGCTGTGCGTTTCCTGCCGTCCTGACTTATTTTGCGGCAGTCTCTTTGGTTTAAGCAACGTTCAAGCTTTCATCTACTTTCTGACGCATGCGGGCACAGGGATGACATTTTATAAGCTGGCTGTACGTTTATACCACTTTTCTATTAGTTCTGCTCTAAACTTCATGTCAGGTCATCTGGCTCTGGTAGGCATTCATTCGAGTTGCCATTATCGAGCGGGTCAAGATTGTGGAGTTCTTTGAAACCTTAGGATACTCGATGCTCTGCACCTGATGTTGATCGGCCATTGCGTCTACTACTATCTAGTAATCAACTATGCAAACGTCAGTGCGCTTACGGAAATTATATGGAGTTTTAAAGTGAGTTCTTATTGTAGTCCTCCGTGCAGTTCCGTACTAGTACTATGATATTGATGGGCTTATGCAGCTTCAGATAATAATTGAGGTGTGTTGTATTTGTTAAGCTCTGCGGTGCACCTCAGTCATGCACTTTATAGATTGTGATTGTCTATGGGGTACATCTGTAAGTTTTATGTGCAGAATGTGATGTGCAAATTATAATCCATACATTCCCGCAACATAGCATGTATGTTTATCGCATATGGATATGTATGTGTCTCCCTATCAATGGATTTCTACGACTGATGCAATATACCTAGTCAGCAAGGACCGATCAAGAACCCTCCCTATCACAGTAGTAAGTTTGCATTTGTTAAAGGTTCTACAGCATTTCAGTCTGTTGATTTGTCGTCAGGGCCTAATCGAAATATTACTCTCAGGTAAGTCTGTTAGCTGGAAATGCTTTTTGTTCGATCTCTAAAATCCCTCCAGGCGTTGCTATCGGTAATTGTTTAAACGATGCTCTTGTTGTTCAAGTTAGCTCATCATTTTAACCCAATGTCAGCCCTTATATGGGCCTTGTGAGTGAAACTGTGCACTCCCTAGCTACACGGAGTGCTGATAGTGGGTAGATACCAGTGTCACGTATTCTCGGATCTGGTTAAAATCGAGTGGTGGACATTCATGACTTTGGGCACGATTACTTTTGTCGACTTCGTTATCGCATCATCACTATGTTACCTCCTGGCTACCTCTCGTACTGGATTTTCTAGGTAAAGAACGATCCATTCATCACCCGGCCCTGAGATATTACTAACGCGAAATACATAGCACCGATTCCTTCGTAACGAAGCTCATGGTTTACATTATTAATACCGGCAGTCTGACGAGGTATTCCTCCTTCCAGACCATCCCATATCTTGACTCATATTTCATGCAGCATGTGTTCAATGGCAGCTATGATTACAGTAAGCTTCGAGAAATTGCGTCGTCCATCTCTTCTCTGAGGGTGTCTACAGTGCGCAGTCATGCCGCGCAACTTCATCTTCCTCGCTATTGAAATTTTATTGGCTGACGGTATGATCAAAACCTTTTCCTAGAATTGTGTTGACCGGCAGTCCTGTTTCAAGTATATATCAACTCGTTCCTCGCACTCCTGAATGCACGATACTATACGCAGGTCAACGCAGACGCGAACAATCCTTACCCATTCCCCAACCCCCACGAGGTCTACCGCCCGGATCTGCACATCAGGGCGTTGGAAGATGAGGAGCTCCAGGCATCCCGAAAAAACATGTTCAAACATCCCGATGAAATTGTGCACCCCTCTCGATTTGTTAAGGTCGGTGCTAGTCCTCGTGTCATTGAAAACTTAATGACACGCTTTAGCCACAGCAGTCGACTGCGATGTCAACGAATGTGAATACCTTCTCGTCTGTGTGATGGATGAGATGTAGTATAGTCTATCCGCCTCTGCACGAGATAGGGGTCATAGCCTGGATATTGCGAGCTCTTATAAACGATACACAGTGGCGAGGAACTCGAGGGATGTAGTCCACTATATCAGTATCTGCAGGTTGGATACATTACTACCAGCTTAGAGTATATCTATCAGGTCTCTAAGCAGAAACAGTTGTTCTACTAGCGACTCTTCATGGCAGGGAGTGGCGGGTGTAATATTATGTAGTTTGATGGAAGTCATTCATTCAATTCTTCCAATACATCTCAGGTTTAAAACATCCATGTTCAAACCAGTATCTTCCTCGGGCTAACATTCATCGATCTAGCTTGCTCGTCGCTTCCTACTTTCTTGAGTCCACTTCCTCGTGCCACTAGTTTTTATCTTGCAACAGTGTATAAATTGCATCATATTGCCTTCTCAACGCTACGGCAGCCCCACTGCTCTAGACGCATGATCTAGACTCTACAATAAATCCCGTCCTTTCCCATAGATTGAGAAGCATCGACGTCCCGTCGAAGCTATGCTTGTGTGGCCGACTCTTGGTAAAGATGAGGGAAGAGTAGAGAAAGTGAAACAGAGCTTTCAGTTATCAAGTGCACCTGTGACGTACCAGTAAGGCATCCATCGCAATGTACATACACAAATATATTGATCTGAGTCGTGCAGTTGTAGCGTTGCTGTTGGAGTACGAGACCGAGAGATCCGAGGCCAGGGGGAGATCCGAGTCGAGAGAGTCCGAAGGATCCGAGTGATAAGGGGAGAATGGTTCGAGCGCACGCCAAAACGGACGAAGACGAGCGACATATGACGTCGGCTCGCGTCCTAGTTTATTTTCAGTCTCTCATTCATATGTTCCAGTACCTGACCAACTTACTATAAGATTACCAGCAGTACCGCAGGTGCATCTCAGTTTTCGTTCGAGACAACTGAGATGTACGTGCCAACAAGTCCCTAGAGTTTACAACGCGTCTAATGTTAGTTATAGCTTGTCTTTGTCGTTCTAGGTAGACGCACCGTTATAGAGTTTTCGTTCGAGACAACTGAGATCTTGTCTTTGTCGTTCTAGACTCCTCGTGACCCTCTTGCTCGTCATAAACGCCTTTAGGTTATGAGCCCTGCCTCCATCATGGAATCTACGCTCCCCGGTACAAACTCCACCCTGTTCAATATCCCGAAGCTCGCAGAAGACGGCTCGAATTTTTTGTTCGAGGATGCGACGGACGAAAGAATGACAGAAAGAATTCTATAAACGAAAGTAGTAAGTACTCAGTCTCAATAGTCGAAGACTAAGGTGCTAAGTAATATAAAACTTCTAATGAGCGCATAGCGTATTATGTAAGCGAGTGTTGTTTGTTGTTGTCCGAATCAAAGTTATCACTTATCTATAATCTTTCAACACGCCCACTCAACGAATCAAACTCTCGCCGTTCAACACTCCCATTCCTTCGATGAATCGTCCATGCTTCTCGCGCGCAAGTGCCTTCGTCAAAACATCGGCAATCTGTTCGTTCGTGGGAACATACTCAACGCATATCTCTCCTTCCTCCAACTTTTCTCGGATAAAGTGATACCGGATCGCGATATGTTTGGTACGTTCGTGAAACATGGCATTTTCGGCTAACAGAATTGCAGATTGATTGTCGATTTGGAGAGTTATTGGGGGAGTTTCTGAGGAGTTTAGTTCTCTGAGTAGGGTCCTCAACCAAACGGCCTCCTTCGTAGCAGCGGCGGCGGCCATATATTCTGCTTCGGTACTGGAAAGTGCGACTGAACTTTGCTTCTTCGAACTCCAACTAACTGCTCCTCCAGATATTGAAAATATATATCCGGTTATCGAACGCCGGTCATTGACATCTGAGGCCCAGTCTGCGTCGACGAATGCATGTAAGTCCGTTTCTGACTTCCCTTGATATGTCAAACATTTATTGACGGTCCCGCGTAGATACCGATAGACACGCTTTAGAGCGGTCCAGTGCGCTTGTCCGGGGGTAGCTGCAAATCTGCTCAGAGCACCTACTGCGAACGCGATGTCCGGACGCGTCGCAAGCATCGCATACATCAGTGCACCTAGGGCACTTTGGTAAGTCTTCACATCGACTTCGGCTTCATTCACTTTGATGAGCTTGGTATTAGGGTCCATTGGCGTATTCACAGGACGACTGGATCCCATATCGAAACGCTCGAGTATCGATTCAATGTAGCGGCTTTGTGACAGCTTGATCGTGCGTTTATCGCGGTCGCGAATGATTTCCATTCCCAAAATCCAGCGCGCTTCTCCCAAATCGGTAAGCTCGTACTCTGCTGCTAACCGTTTCTTCAGCTCATCTATCATCTTCTTATCCTTTGACAGTATCATTTTGTCGTCAACATAGACGGCGACTATAATGATTGTGCCGTTCTCGACCTTGTAGAAGACAGAATGGTCTGCATTGCTGCGTGTGAAGCCGAGAGACTCGAAGACGGTACATAGTCTTTTGTACCATGCTTTGTGTGCCTGCTTAAGACCGTATAGAGCACGTTTGAGCTTCCAAACTTGATTCGACGAGTCACGAAAGCCAGGAGGGAGCTGCAGGTAAATTTCCTCATCCAATTCACCGTTTAGAAAAGCTGACTTGACGTCCATCTGATGTATATCTAGATCGTACTTGGCTGCAAGGGCAAGAAGGACTCGAATCGTCGAGAACTTCGTGACGGGGGCAAAGGTGTCTGTGTAGTCGATCCCTTGGACCTGCGTGAAACCTTTCGCGACGAGTCTGGCCTTATAGCGTTCAATTTCGCCATGCGGGCCGCGCTTAATTTTATAGACCCATTTCGAGTCTACAACCTTGCGGTCACGAGGGCGTTTGACTTCCTCGTATAGGCCAATCTTCTCGAAGATCTTCAATTCTTCGGTCATCGCCGTGTACCATAGATCTGCGTCTGGACGATTCATTGCTTCATGGAACGTCCCAGGCTCACCATTACAAGCTACTGTAGCCTTGTAAGCCTCCCCATGTGTCTCCGCAGCCTCAATCGCGCCCACTGCCTCAGGTATGTCTTGTATAACCGGTTCCTCTCTTTGAAGTGTTGACTTCTCATAGGCGTTTATGAAGTAGCGAGGATCATCGTCTCGCATAGGTGCGCGTCGCGCTCGCGAGCTGCGCCTTACTTCAGGTGGAGGAGCTGGGCGAGGATATGGAGCAGGAGGTGCTATTTGTCGAGTGGCTGAAGGGGTTAGTGGTTGAACACGGTGTGTTTCCAACGCACGCGTGTTGTTCGGTGCTGACATTTCCTTGTTCTGGTCTTCAGGCTCGAACTTGACCATGCTTAGAGGAGCTGGTTGTCCATCGACATCATCATCCTCGTGGGGAGATTCAGTAGCTGGATTTCCCACTTCCGGTGCGTCATCGTCTGATAATTCTTCTATAATTGTTGACTTATGAGGAGCTTCCAGGCCTTGCAGGTCGTCTGTGTTGTGCTTTGCAGCAGTGACCTGTTTCTCTGGGAGAAATGTGTCTATCTTGACACGACTAGGCCCTTGTGGATCTCCTTCATCGAAGACGACGTCTCGCGACTCGAGGATGCGACCGGTTGGACGATGCAGGCATACATAGGCCTTTCAATGTTCGGCATACCCAAGGTTGACGCATTCGAGCGATTTCACACCGAGCTTCTGGTGTTTTTCATCAGGTATGTGTACATGGGCTTTGCACCCAAATACCCGGAGATGGGATACTGATGGTTTGTTCCCAGTGAATGCTTCGTGTGGTGTAATGTCTCCATCTATCGCACGAGTTGGAACCCGGTTCAATATGTGCGCCGAATATAGGATCGCATCTCCCCAATATGTGTTTGGCAGTCCGGCGTCTCGTAGCAAGCTGCGTGCCATTTCAACTAAGGTCCGATTCATCCGCTCTGCGACACCGTTCTCTTGTGGTGTGTATGCGTTTGTTTTCTCGTGATGGATGCCTTTTGACTCGAGATAGGATACAAATTGTTTTGATCCATATTCCCCCCCACCATCACTACGAAAATAGTTGGGGCGTTCTCCAGTCTCGGTCTCTGCACGTTCAAAGTATCCTTTGGTGAGTGCGAATGTTTCATCCTTGGTCTTCACAAGTTTAACCACGAGATGGTGTGAATAGGCATCTATGAATGTAACGAAGTATCGGAAGCCGGCGCGCGACACTGTTTCCATGGGTCCGCATACATCAGAGTATGTGCGATACAGGACTCCTGGGCTTTCGACATTTGATTTCGTTGGGATTGGGTTGCGGTGTTGCTTGCCTTCAAGGCAAGGCTGACACACTGCCTTATTGTGAGTACTTGAACCCTTTATGTTGATCCCATTGACCATATCTTTCGAAATTAACTTAGATATGGAGTCGAAATTTACGTGCCCAAGTCGTCGATGCCATGTGTCCAGAGTTGCACTCGAATGGAGCATGCGCGAGGTGAGAGCTGTTATGGGGACATCTGGATCGAGTGGAGCTGATGGTCCTTGCAGAATGTATGCATGTGCTTTCTCGCATGGCTTTACTCGAAGGACATATAGCGAGTTTCGCTTATGTGCGAGAGCGACGGTCTTTCCCTTTGCAAGGATCTTGCATTGGGAACCATCAAAGGTGACTTCGAGACCTTGTTTCGTGAGGCGCGGAACTGACAGAAGGTTCGCATTCAGGTCTGGTATGTGATAGACTTCCTGCAGGATGGAGTGGATGTACTCATTTTCACCAACATAGACGTTTATTTCAGCACGTCCGATACCTATCGCATCTATCGAGCGTCCATCTCCGATGATTACTTTTCCGGGTGGGTTCAGTGTGCGATATTTGATGAAAATTTCCCGCTGACACGTCATGTTTGCAGATGCGCCAGAGTCCACTATCCAATCATCTTTGGATGCGGATGTAGAGTGCCCATGTGCCATGAATAATTGGAGCGGTGTGTCATGGTCCGACGAAATGCGTGCGACCTTCGCAGATAGGTCCGTTTTTCCTTTGTCTTTGTCCACCTGCTTCCCACTCTTTTCAGCGTCTTCAGCAGCTTTCTTCTTTCGACAGTCCTTCTCCTCATGTCCAGGAATGTGGCAGTATGTGCACTTTTCCTTTGACTTCTTCTTGTCCTTATCCTTGCGCTTAGGCTTATTCTTTTGCGCAGGTCCCTTCGCAACGAGCGCAGATTGGCTATTGCTAGCCTGTCGTTGCCTTTCCTCTACCAGCACTTGGGCTATAACAGTTTCGGTGGTGAGTTTGTCACTACTGGACATTAGGATCGTTCGAAGGGTGGCATAGGATGAAGGTAAGGATATCACCATCGCAACTGCGACCAGTGAATCGTCGAGCGGCTGGCCAAGCGAGGACAGTATGAATGCCTTCTGTCGCATGGTGTTTAGCTGCGTTTCCATAGGAGATTCGTCCGTCAAGGTACTTCGAAACAATTCGCCAATGAGTTGAGCAATTGTTTGCTTTCCTCTACCCTTGTATCGCTCACAGAGCTTCTTCCAGGCATCTTTAGCTATTGGCACATAGAGTATCCCATTCAAGGGATCATCTTTCAGCGTGAGAGCTATCTGAGCTCGTGCTTCCTTGTTCCTTGCTAACCATTCCTGGTGTTGAACAGGGTGCGTTGTGCTATCTGGCATCTTTTCACTTCCTTCAACAATTCCCCATAGTCCTCGAAGGTCAAGGATTAACTCGACACGGTACTTCCATAGTTGGAAGTTTGAACCGTCGTTTTCGAGGGATGGAATATCATATAGACGATTTGAGGCTTGTGCAGTTCTGCTTGTAGATGTAGAACTGGATGATATGGAAGGGATGTTCGAGGATGAAGCAGCTGCACCTGACTGGGCTGCAGACACTGAGGGTGTGTTCGACATTTAATTCTTGTTTCGGTTGATGTTCCTTTGTGGTACTGGATTGATTCTAAGCACCAGGGCTCATAACCTTTTGTTCGAGGATGCGACAGACGAAAGAATGACAGAAAGAATTCTATAAACGAAAGTAGTAAGTACTCAGTCTCAATAGTCGAAGACTGGGAGACTACTAGCTGACCTATAAACGAAAGTAGTAAGTACTAGAGTAGTAGTCAGTATCGTAGTAAAGAGTCTAAATAAATAATATCATACCTCAGTCTCAATAGTCGAAGACTGAGGTGCTAAGTAATATAAAACTTCTAATGAGCGCATAGCGTATTATGTAAGCGAGTGTTGTTTGTTGTTGTCCGAATCAAAGTTATCACTTATCTATAATCTTTCAACAGACGCTTGGTGGCACCGGTAGACACATGGGTTTTGCGTTGCACAGGAGCTTGAGTGAGCTTCCCTCCAGTGGGACGCTGCCGCTGTGATTTTGTAGTCATCCAGACTAGGACAATATCCGGTGAGAAGCATTCCACAATCATCATATAACACTGACCTGCATTTTCCATTGCCTTTTGCTTTGCGCTTCGAATACCTATAATGTATATTCACAGTTAGCTCTCATTATGACAGTAAGTACTACTTACTTCGACTAGAACCAGTGTTATCGGCGCGTGCCATACTGACTTGTTGAATGGTACTTTAAACAAGTAGATATTAGTAGATGATTTTGGAATGTAATGGAAGGAAATTGAGGAAACTACCTTGTACTGGCCTTGGTACTACCAATTTATATTAGATGCCACCGCCAAGGGAAAACTTACTCGCCTGCCATGGGTTTCAAAACGATTGAATTTTTGAGCGCCTGTTTTAGATTAGTTCAGGCTTCATCGGATCGCGAACAAAATCAAAGGTACAATTTGGTCAGCATCAATTTCAGGATCACTCCTACTCTTAACAAATAAGGTCCTTGAGAGCGCATGAGTATAGGCAGCTGAAAAGAAATATACAGAGGCTAGAATTTGACCAGGCTCCTTTCCCAGCCCCCGATTCGAGTGTGAGGGGCGATATCTGAGGGCACCGTTTGAGGAATAAGGTCATGCTGGGTTCGAATTTTCTTGTATCAGGTGACATATCAAATGGTGCCCTCAGATATCGCCCCTCACACTCGAATCGGGGGCTGGGAAAGGAGCCTGGAGTTTAATTTTACCTTCAATATCTTAGTGTTCGAATATCATCTTTACTGGACTCTCCTGTTCTAGAACTTGGTGTGATCATAACAGGTATAGTGTAAGCTCAAGGAAAAAGGATGAATTTCCATGTGCGAAGACACTGTGCATTTGTAGAGACGTTGAACGAAGTACAAGTTATGAGTATGTGTGCTACATGATATCTACTACAGCACCATGACCCCAGTCATCATCATGTCAAGTCGAGCTAATACATTAGTTGATCGGAGCTGCGAGTCTCCAACATTGAGCATGTGAGACTTAGAATGGTCGAATATGAGTTTCTGGACATCGTCCAGACCATCAATGTAGTGAATGATGTCGTTGAAAGTGTCTTTCCCTTCAAGCTGCGTGAACGGTATGACAACCGGTGGATGAGGCAGCTGCTCCCGCAGCACAAGCTTCACAACGGAACCAACAGCGGAGATAGCATAATTGACTTGCTGGAGTCGGTCTGATGTCATAGCGGCAAGAAATTCGTAAATGCCGAGGTCACTGCACCATATGAAGTGAACGGTGACGTGAAAGATTAAGGGATTGTTGAGGATGCCATCTAGTAAAACGATGTTCCCGTCCTGAAGAACAACCAATCAACACTGTCTATTTGAAACAAAATTTAAACATACTATGTCGACTGTAAACCTATGCATGAAGGCCAGTGGGTTGGCACTATTGTTGATCAATGCAGCTATCACGCGACCCCGGAATTGATCTGGCGCGACATTAGAGCCGACCGGTGGGTAAAGGTTGTAGCCCAGGGCAAGACAACTCCGAACGATGGCCAGGAGCTTCCGAAAAATGTTATTCCATGCCACCATAATCTGCTGCTGTTGGCTACTCGTTGTTTTAATTGTAGCTAAATAAATAGATTAGTATTCTACTCAATTTATCTGCCAAAACGTACCGTTAAGACCCGGGATAGACGCTGCCTCCGAAATTGCAACAGATACAAGTGCCGCACCCGTGTCATCAGTACCGGCCATCGCATTTGCTGTCAGTATGAACCTCACAATTCTTCTCTTCGCGCATTCAACAATCTGCTTCTTAACTTGAGGCGTAACATCAAGGATAATGGGACCTGGTCCGGCTGGCTGCATAGCAGCAGGAACGGTGTTGGATGTGGACTGTGAGGTGACAGGTTCTACCGGCATGACCGGCATAATTGCCGGCTGCATGGCCATGGGTTCAGGTGGCGGTGCAGGGGCTAGATGGGCCGTGTGTGTAGTATGGGGGACAGTGACTGCGGGTTGCACAGGACCAAGGGTAGCCATCATTGGCTCAGGCAGCGGAACAGCTCTGGGTCCGGGTATGAAATATGGCATGGTGGAGGAGGTCCGAGCACACCGATGCCTCTCAGAACGCTGGGAGGATCCTACAAATGACTGGGGAAAGGGTAGTGGGTAGAAGGTGTCGAACTGTGCGGAGGAGGGAATGAGAGGCTGAATGCTGTCGACAGTGCTACTGGTCGACGGATCATTAGTGCTGGATGGCCCAGGGGAAGGTTTTCGGGAGTTAGATAGCAAATCACCGGTGTTCATCATGTGGTGGTGGTCGGTCATACGGAGGAATCGTTCAAGTGGATCCTCATCATCTGCTTGATGCACTATTAGCTCGCGACTACTATAACATTGGATGAATACATACCATTCAAACTTGTTCCCGATCTGAATCCATCGTATTGATTGTCATAGTCATTTTTGAATGACTTGCTGGTAATGTCTTGAAGTTCACCAGAAATGCCTGAACGCGGATTATGGTCAGGCATCTGCATACTTTGCTGAGAGCAAGTAGGTAAGGAGAAATGAGATGGGGAAGGAGTGGCCACTGGTTAAAGGGTACTTACACCATGCGTCCGGGGGCTGGAATTGAGCGATTTCCTGCATCGCGCGCTAGAAACATGATGTAGAACCTCATTATAATATGTAATAGCGAATAAAAGAAAAATTAAATAGAGCCAAGGTATTGGGCTAGCCATATCTGATACTAACGGCAATAATCCATGATAATGGCGACGCATAAGGTCAATATCAGTGGGGTGAGGCTCAAGAGATGATGGGAACGGAAGCGAAATTTGAATTGACTCACTCAATCCATTGAATAATCGACCATGAGCATTGCATGTAAGGCGGCCAAAGAGAAGCAGTACATATATGGGATGTTTGAACGTCGACAAATATGGTTATTCAGTACCGAGAATCTTAATAATGCTGCGCACTGACTTCCATGTGCCGATCAGATGTTGTATTCTTTGACAAATGTGTAGTTCCAACGAGCATAATAGTGTGACAACAACTTGAAAATAAATATGAAAAAACTCTAGTACATTATAACTGCACAGAAGAGAAAATACATATGGTTAAAGTGATACTATCAGACGCGCCATAGACACCTCCATATTGATGTCACGATGATGGCAAATGGGGATTGATGAAAATGCGATCTGAGTTCACCGCTGCTTTATATGGTTGATCAGCGTGGTAATACTTCAAACGAGAATTTCACGTACCGATGGAAGAGCAATTATCAGGTAGTCAACTGTTCAGAGCCTTCGCATGAAGCCTCGGAGTCAAGGTCCGAATCATCCACATGGCAAGATTCATCAGATGAGTCGGAAGGTTCCTCATTGCTGAGGCAGGAGAATGTGATGGGGTACATGGGGAATACTTCGGGAGATTTCAAAAACGCCTTCCTGACACGTACACTCAGGAGCTTCGCAACCTGATCAGTTTGTGTACTGATGATACGAAGGGCCTCGGATTCGTCCTGGTAGACAGCTTGGAGATAATTCCTATCATCACCCAGTTCTGCCTGGCCACGCTGCGAAAAGATCTTCCTGAAGCACTGCAATTCCCACTCTGCCAACTTGAATCGTTCTTCGTTTTCAGCGTGGATACCATCAAGAAATATTGAGTGACGCTCAGCCTCTTCGATTTCCCACGTTGTCAACAACATGCATTGGCGCGCAACCTCGCGCGTTGCAAGCTTGGCCTTGTATCCTCTGTACAAGGTCGAAGTTGTCATTTGGGAGAGGCCACTCTCTAACTGTTCTTCAAACTTTAAGACTACATTAGCATGATTATTAACATCGGGAAGTCAATTCAATATACCTTCTTAGTTGCTTCCAATGGAAATTCGGATTGGAATTTGAGATTCATCACCCGGGCTGCATAACGAAGTTCCAATGGAGCTGGGTTGGTGGGGTATGGGAGAGACGTCCTTGATGGTTTCTTGCGTGCGAAGTGCTGTTGAGGAGATAGAGACTGTGACCTTTTGCCATGCCTAGAGAATAGGCTCTCCTTTACATCAGCAGGCTTGGATGCTCCATCCCGTTCAATGCGCAGAGAACTATTCATCATGTTTGGAGAGAGGCCAGATTGTAGGCTTGAATTACAAAGAGTCATGTCAGACTGGCCCAAGGAGTCGGGAGAAGATGGAATTGTGGGACTGCTCATTTCTACAGGTGACAAAGGCAAATGAGGGCTGCAAGATTGAACAGGAGACGGAGGTGAGTTGGCCATCCTATAGTAAGGGAATCTCGGAACTTAGGTGGTGATACAGGTGATATATATTAATGGATACCTAGCGCGGAGCCTGAAAAAGGAAGCTTACAGGGTGTACTACTACAGTAGTATCTATCAGCAGAGCGCAGTGATAGCATTATACAGCATGGTCAGTTGCCCCAGATGTCATGAATCCTTTTCTGCAACAGGTTATAGTCAGCATCTAGCCAAGACTAGACAAACGCCATGCAGAGCCTTCCTTGCTACTTTTCATGCAAATTCTAACTCCCAGGGCCTGGGGAGTCCGAAGAATCCGACACTCCAAGCTGGCACACGTTTCCTGTCACCGCTGTAGAAACAACAATACAGAGAGGAACAAAGAAATGCTCCTGACTGTATCTAAAAAGTTGTAGGTCGTGCGTTGCCTAGTCTGCGATACTTGAGATGGCAAGTGCATTCGACCCTAAAGGGGAAGCAGGTGCAGCGGAGATCTAGAGGTACGCGCTTCAGCGAAGCGCGAGAAAGCGCCGGTGCGCGCAAGGTATGAAGGCGCGGGAACGCGCGCGCGTATTAGCGCGAAGCACGGGAAAGCGCGCGCGTGTAAGCGGAAATAAGAGAGACTAAACTTATGTGAAGATATAAGCAAGATAAAGGATGTGAGATGTGTTGTGCTAATGAATAGATTTCTACTGCGACTTTCTAAGTAGTAAGTACTAGGTAAAGTTGGGTGAAAAGTAAGGTGTGAAAGGTAAGTAAGTAATAGTATGTACTGCTGGCGCTTATATAGCGCGCCTAAGCGCGGTCATGCGGAGCCGAAGCGCTACCGAGTAGGTATGTAAAGATATATATAAGTGAGAATTCATGATAAAAATAAAGGTGGAATGATATGCTAATAAAAGAAATGGAAATATACGCACTAGAGGGCTTGGTGGACAGTGGATGGATGCTTCTGGATGGCTGGCGCTATAGGGCGCGCAAGCGCGGGAACGCGCGCGCGCGTATACATTGCGAAGCGCAGGAATGGTGCGCGCATGGCGCGCATTGCGCGGGAAAGCTGCGCCTCATATAGGAATTGCTGTGGACAGTACACAGAGTGGTGCTGCGAGTTGGTGCTGTATACTCCCTTAGTGGAAACTGCCATATCACGCCATGAGAGGCATGAGTCTCTACACCGCCTCCAGGGTCCTTGGAAGAACAAGATCATCCAATCTTATTTGAGGGAGATTTTTTTGGTACTTACGAGGAAGCTGATCTAGAATGGCCAGATGACCATTCTGGTGACGAAGAAGAGGACCTTTACAACGATGAATGGGAACCTCCTGCACAGGACAATAATGATGAACCAGAACCTCCGGTACCTGACGACGACATACTGGAAAATGAAGGTGCTGAAGCCTTGGAGAACCGAGAAGCTCGTCGGGAGATTGAGCAATGTACCATGGAGCAAGATCATATTGTTATTGTGCCCTATCCGGATGCCCATGCAGGCGTACCAATAACTGGACAGCCTGCTCATGATTCAAATACCACATACGGTATAGATGCTGGCAACTCCAACAATATTTACGCTCCTTTCACCTCCCAGATAGACTGGGACGTTGCTAAGTGGGCAAAGTTATGCAGTCCTAGTTCAACGGCATTTACTGACCTTCTTGCAATTGATGGGGTAGGTGCCAGTGAAGGTTACATCCTTGATTGTTCTGATATCCATATGTAGGTCAGTGAACAGCTCAACCTTTCATTCAAGAATTCAAAAGAGCTTAATAAGATAATCGACAAGGACCTTCCTGGATGACCAAAGTTCAAGCGTGAACAAATCATTGTCGCTGGCGAAGCATTTGACATTTTCTACCGAGATATTGTCGAATGCATCAGATCTTTATATAGTGACCCTGACTTTGCCGATTTTCTCATATTCAAACCGGAGCGTCATTACACTGATGAGGATAAGACGATACGATTATTTCATGATATGCACACTGGTCAGTGGTGGTGGAACACACAGGTAAGCATGGTATCATAAATTCGATGCTTGGCCTACATTATTGACTTTGTAATTCAAGAAAGTGCTCGATCAACAACGTCCGGGTGCCACAATCATCCCTGTCATCATATCGAGCGACAAAACCCAGGTTACCATGTTCCGCAACAAAACTGCATATCCCGTCTACCTTACAATTGGTAACATTCCAAAGGAAATCCGACGAAAGCCATCCCGTCGCGCTCACATTCTCCTAGCGTATTTGCCTACTACCCGCCTTGAGCATATCGCAAATAAAGCCTCAAGGCATCGAGCTGTTGCAAACCTCTACCATGCCTGTATGAGTCGCGTACTGGCTCCCCTAAAGACTGCTGGAGTTGATGGGCTTGTGATGAGTAGTGGCGATGGTGCACGATGTCGTTGTCACCCATTGTTCGCATGCTTCGTTGGTGACTATCCTGAGCAGTTACTTGCTGCTGGAGTGAAGTCGATGGAGTGCCCGAAGTGCGATGTTCCCACAGACGAACTCGAAAGTAATACAGCGCAATGCGATATACGCGATCTTCATGCTGTGTTGGATGCTCTCGCTCTGATCGATGAAGGTGACCTGGCCTTTGTACAAGCATGTCGTGCTGCTGGAATCAAACCAGTTGTCCATCCATTCTGGGAGGACCTGCCCTATACAAACATTTTTCAGGCAATCACGCCTGACGTGCTGCACCAACTATATCAGGGTCTCGTCAAGCATTTGCTTGGATGGTTAGCACAAGCGTGTGGAGCTGCAGAGATCGATGCACAATGCCATCGGTTACCTCCCAACCATCATATCTGACTATTCATGAAGGGTATTACCAGTCTCAGTCGCCTCAGTGGTACTGAACACAGCCAAATATGTCGCTTCCTCCTTGGCATCATTATTGACATCCGGCTTCCCGGAAATCTTGCTTCATCTCGCCTTCTAAAGGCTGTACGCGGTCTCCTCGACTTCCTCTACCTTGCGCAATATCCATGTCATAGCTCTGAAACATTACTTTTACTAGATGAAGCTCGCGCACTCTTTTACGACAACAAGGAGATATTCGTTGACCTTGGAATCCGAAACAACTTCAACCTTCCAAAACTCCATGCAATACGTCATTATACGTCTATGATTCGGATGTTTGGGACAACGGATAACTACAACACCGAGTACACTGAAAGGCTGCATATAGATCTCGCCAAGGATGCCTATCGTGCTACCAATCACAAGCACAAATTCACGCAGATGACACGATGGCTAGAATGAAAGGAGAAGATCATCCGTCACGAGCAGTACATAAAATGGCGCCTTGATAGAGATCGCGCTCCTTATCAACCGCGTCCACCCGACCTACGCCTCGACCGCACCCTAAAAATGACAAAGCATCCAAGCGCCAAAGCTGTCTCAGTTCCAACATTGATATCTGACTATGGCGCAACTTACTTCCAAGAAGCACTTGCTCGGTACATTGCAGAACAACAGAATCCAAATGAGGTTTTCACTCGTCAGCGGCTGGAGAACGTCGCTGCAGGTATCCATTTACCATTCCACTCCGTCCCTGTATATCACAAGATAAAGTGGTTATCGACTGACGCTTGAGGGCATGGCGATCCACTTGTGACGGTGGATAGCATACACACTAAACCCCAACACGCTGCTCTCCAAACGGATGATGTAGTACCAGCACGTTTCGATACTGCACTTATCAACGATGGTACTGGCAGCTCTGTTGGCATCAAAGGTATGGCACTACACTTCACTGGATTCACACTGTTATAGCATCAGTGATAATTTTGTTGCTAGGCTTCCGCATAGGCCAAGTTCGTGTCATTTTCTCAATTCCTGCAACGGCAACACAACTATTGTTCCCTCCAGCAAACCAGCCTCCCAAGCACCTTGCGTATGTCGAATGGTTTACTCCCTTTCCTGCGACACCAGATCCCAGGCACAGCATGTACAAAGTTAGCCGATTCATTCGGTCTGGCGAGAGGGTGGCAAGTATCATTCCTGTTTCAAATATTGCCCGCAGTGTCCATCTTATCCCAAAGTTCGGAGCTATTGTACCTCGACACTGGACAAGTAACAATGTTCTCGAAGAATGTGACACCTTCTTTGTTAACTGCTATATTGATAGACATAGTTTCGTAACTCTCAGATAATGCTATATCGCATTAGCAATATTTTAGAAAGAATAATTGAATTAGTGCTATTCTGTATTACTTGGTATAACTTGTCTAACTTTTGAGAAATTTGTTACACTTAGTCTAGGTTTGTATCGGAGGGTTTTCCTGATGAACGTTGCAGGACGAGGAACAGGCATCCCAGAAGAGCATGTTCAATCATCCAGATGAAGTGTTGCATATCACTCGACCTGTTCAGGCTGTCATGGTCAGTGCTTGCACCACTGTTAACAGAATAGGACTGATAATTTGCTTTAGCCGTGGCGGCCGATTGAGATGAATTATCTCTCTTCAGCATGATTCGGATCGATTGCGTGGACCGTTGTTTCCATATCTTGCGAGATGAGTGGGGCCGGCTAATGACTCGAACTTCTTGGTAATGTCCACTCCCATTCTTGCCGCGACTATTTCTTAGTGCGCCCACAATCAACGTTGGCGTGATCAACTTAAGCAGACTAGTCTATCAAATTTGTAAAATGATATCTCCACAGCGCGGCGCGGGCGCTCCAACCTTATAAATAATTGCGAATTGATGAGGTCGGACCTCGAACACATACTGAGGTCGGTACGAACGAACGCACCAGGAACCCGGATATTCATACATGCGACGATCAGAGACATAGCCAGGAAGTCCGACATTTGACCGCATCTCATGAATACAAGCATACAAGATGCGTCTTATCTCGAGCACTAGTACTGCTAGCGTACACCGCCCGTATATAGCCTTCCTGATCCGATTTTTTTTGGAAAGATGGAGACAAAAAGAGGTCCCAAGCACCGGCCAGCTATCAATTGTCCACGGAAAGATGGCTTTATTAAATTTCGGTGTCCGATGACCGGATTTACGTACCTTTCCATCGTTCCATCGTATCAATGATGAACGTTCTGAATATCTCTCCGTTGCATCGAAGCCATGTTGTCTATGAACCAGTGCGTACAGTTGATGATCATCAGATAGACTGTGATTGTGGCAACTAGAGAAATAACTAGGCGCTAAATTTTATTTATATTCAAGCAGTACATCTGGTATACAATGTATCCATGAAATCCTGGGCAATAATAGCGGCATCGTGCAGAACGCTGAGGTACGTAGGGAATACTGTGAGTAAACAGGCGGTATAAATACGAGCAGAACACCAAAAAAATACGAGCGCAGGATATAGCATGTCAACAATCATAGACAAGGGCCAAACAAACGTGTATTGACAGCAAGCGCGCCTGCTCCTTCAGATTCCCAAAACTACTTCCGCGTGGGGAATCCATCATCATATTCGACTTGCTGATCGACTGTGATTTGTACGCCCAACCCAGTGCGCGCACGGGGGATACCACTATCAACATCCTCTCCAATGATTGGAAGTACAGCCTTGGTTTCCTCGCGAGGGGTGACACTGCTTTTGTCAGCATCCCATTCTCCTCCCTCTTTACGAGCGGCCACGGCCACGGTGGCATCACGCATATCACCGAGTGTGAAAGTGTGGTTAACCCCTCTTGGTCTATTCCCTGAGCCAGATAGCGAGTGGGTATTGGCTCCCGATGAGGAAGCAGCGTGGGAAGAAATAGAGAAGGTGCCTCCGTTGGTAAGGTCCCCTCTAACAGATAGGATGATACGCATAGACATTGTTGTTGTCAGCACAGCCGCCATGCTAGTGACAATCGTCTTGATGGGGTCGGTTGGACCCGTGGGTGTCATGATGAAGTAGAAGAAGACGTTGATGAGGTTTACAAGGAGAATGGCACCGTACAGGTTCAAGCCATCACGAAGCATGAGACGCCAGTAAGATACACGCCTGGTTTCGAGCGTTCTAATACTGCGTAGAGAAGCGAGGACGAAGCTGGTAGCGTAGAGCAGGGTTGGAGCTAGCCAGTAAATTCCAACCCAGCTTGCGTTATTCAAGGGCCCAGCGATGCATCCCTGGCCATCTTCAAGATGGACAGAGCGGTAGAAACCGCAGCAAAGGGCAGTGACGACAATCTGCACAGCATATAATCCCCACATAGTTGCGCGAACATTTGGGACGTGGTCATAGATAGCCGATATGCGCATGACATGTACAGCGGATGCAACAGCCATGAGAACTGCCGTACAAATTGGCTCGTAAGGCCAGAAGGCGACGCAGTCCGTGTCTTGTATGACTGTCGTACTAAAGAACATTACACCTGTAACCGCGTTTCAGGTTAACGCCCGAGGTCTCACGATAAGACGGGCTTAGAGAGGGAAATGCACCTGTTACAACGAAATCCGCTAGGACCCAAAATTGCATGAAGTAATACATGAACTTCAGAGCTGGCCATTTTGGCAGACGTCCCAGCCTGTAGGACCTGGGAGTGAGAACGAGGGCATCCCAGGCCAAGACAGTGAGCGTGCAGACGAAGAAATACTTTTGAGCCGACAGATGAGGCGGAAGATCCAATGAAGGAGGGAGGGTCGGGGTTGTCGTGTTCGTCGACATGGTAGATGGGAAGAAGGAAAGGCAATGAGCGCTAGATCTACATGGCTCAATAGCAGCGATTTTATTCGCATAGGGAGGCAGTTCCATCAGTTACTCATTATATAAGCAGAATCTTGATCCCAAGATTTCGGTGCACAGGGTCCTCCCACGGTAATTTATAAAGTGGCCGTAAGTGACGGTAACGAACCTTACCGTTCCATCCGACGAGCTCGCATAATCTTAATGTCTTCTTCACCGTCGCTGTCATCCTCGACGCCTACCCTTACTAGCTCAATTGATCAGTCGACTAGTCAAACCTCCAGCACGGGAGGTAACCAACCGCCATCTACATCAACCACGCTATATCTGTATGTGTTGCCAGATCCCACATAAGCGTCATAGGCTAACACAGGCTCCATCATCCCATGCACTGCTTTCCGAACGTTTCATCCCGCATTCGCAAAACGTTCCTCTCCCCTTCTTCGTTTTGATCTCCTTATTTTCATATATTTCTCCGATACGTTACGTGCGGGTCCTTGTAACAATATCGATGAACTCTACAACCAGCTTCACGTTCCTCGCCACCCTTTTCGTCCTCCTGCTCATCTCCGCCTCTATTATATTCCGTTCCTTCCTCGTGCGCCGTCGCTTTCGTCGGCGTGTTGAAGACGCTTTGGCACAAGGAATATATATTGACCTACAGCCCACAGCACTCGGTCTTACTTCACGGTACATCGGAGAGAAACCCAGCGTGCATGAAGCGTGGGTTGAACAGGATGTCTCACGGGATAAATCCCAGTGGCAAGCCATCATGGTCTGTTTGAAGCCATGTAGTCATTTGGCAGGACTTGGCTGATACTTTCCCTCAACAGCCTGTGGCGGTTCGTCTAACACACAGGGTCGAACCTACTGCGGAACCACAATTACCTCATGAATCCATACAGCAACAGCGACCCTCATTCCTCGCGCGCTTCAAGCGACGTTCCACATCTCCTGACCCACATCCAGCCACAATTCCTCGACACTCTGCTTCCTCAGATGACTCCGCCTCCGTCTGTGTCCTGATCTCCATGCCTGACCCTTTCTCCCCAATGCGCTTTAAGCACTCATCGGAAGAGTCGGCCACGTCGCAACTAAGTGACGGTAAAGATCCGAACCTGGGCGTAACCACAGGGAGGATCAACGATGAGGAAGGCGTCCCAAACGTTGTTTTTGGGGTGGCCGAACTTCCTGTGCTTGGTGGCTGGACAGAAGCAACAACGATAGCGTAATATTTTCGGTTATACACTTCCCTGGTATGACAGACACGAATAGGGCGGTAATATGATATATCGATCAATGTGGACCTGTTTAACTAATCTTGACCCTATATCAAGTACTGTATTCTTGTTTTGTAACACTTACTACCACTTACCCACACCATGATACTCACCATCCTAGTATGCATGTAGTATAGTTAGGTAGGAACGACGCTGCAGGAATGTCTCGACTAACCCTTGCGGTTTCGCTAAGACATAATGTCAACGCTATGAAGGCATCCGTACCTGTTGCAACCTGGTGTGTCGCATAACCCTGTCACTTGAGTACTGTGCCTTTGTACATAGAAGCCTTGTACCTCGAGCGTACCGATGCCATCATTACACGGCCTCAGATCGTGTACGGCATTGAATATTATTTTGATTGGCCATATCATGATATCTACCCAGTGAAGATTGTTGCCAGACCTACTACAACTCTAATTGTCATCCATCCATCCATCCATGCCAAGGCGTCCAACTCGCACCGCCATCTGGCATCATATCAGCCAGATCCCTCGAACTCCGAGTCTCACACTGCTCGAACCCTCCGGTTATCTATCATGATAAGTTGTTGGTAGTATCATGACCCAGCGTGACCCCTGATATCGGTTAATCTTTAAATTAAGAAGGTGGCGAATCGTTCTCGCGCTGGTCCTGTGTCTTCCAAGGTTGATTTGTTCCATGCAGTGTGGAGTCTATCGCCGCCCCAATGATTCGGGGTACCTGCTAGTGTGATCAAGTAAAAATAGAACTTGAGAGAATCGTTGTCTTTCTTCTCGATGAGAAAAAGATATAGATGAAACAAAAGTACTTAGCTCGAAGTGTACCTTTTGGTGTGCCGATGAGACAAGGTGAGATGTGTCGCACAAAGATCAGTACTGATGCAGATGGGCCAGAACTTTCAGTCCTCTACAGGATGGGACCGATGGCCCGATGCTTGAGTGGGAAATGATGCAGGTAGGCATATTTCATGTAACCGCAATTTCAACTTATCCCCTCGAGGCAGGCTGATTCCGCCGTTAAGGCTGAAGGAACACAGTTTCCTTCATCATGGATCGGAGTCTTGGACATATCCAAGGATGCCGTTGGTTGTGTAGAAAATTTAGAAAATGCCGAGAGACCTTGAAGATGAGCGCTAGCTGTGGGCTAGACCACCACGTGTGATCGATACTACGCTGGATAGAGGCAGGACATATCACATGGGCAACATGAACACCTGAGCCTTGTAACTGTGGCTCCAAGGCCGTTGTCAGACTGAGGACATGGAGTCAATACAAACTTTGAAATGCAATGACCAAGTTGCACGTGCACCGGGTCGTCGCGAACAATCTTTTTTCTTCTTGTAGCAATCTCCAAGCTCGTTGTCTTCCTACTCTCTCTTCCTCCACCCGGACCGCGTCCGCGAGTGAGTTTCGTTTCTTGATCGTGCTGAATTTCGATGCTAGACCCTCTGACAGGTCTCCGATTTAGTGTGTGGTATTCTAGGGTTACTGCTCCACGATCCATCGGTTGATGCAGCCCCAGAGATTTCTGAAGGTCTCTCCTTGCTGCAGCACAGAGGACAGGATGCCTGTGGCATCGTAACATGTGGACCTAAGGGCCGATTCTTCCAGTGCAAAGCCAACGGCATGGTCCGAGATGTCTTAGATGAGAAAGCTATCGCAAAATTGATCGGAGGTATGGGTGTTGGCCATGGTAAGCCTTCCCAGTTATGCGATCCTGTCAACGATTATCATAACACACTGTAGTTCGTTATCCGACTGCTGGTAGCTCGGACCACGCCGAAGCACAACCGTTCTACGTCAATTCACCATATGGTATTGTATTCGCCCACGTGAGTCTGTCTTTTAGGGTTCTTCCTTAGAGTCGACTGAAGGTGATGCTTAGAACGGAAACCTCATAGACAGCCCATCACTCTTGCAATATATGGACGCCACCGCACATAGACATATAAACACTTCATCTGATTCCGAACTTTTGCTCAACCTTTTCGCCGACAATCTTCAGAAGACAGGCAAATTTCGTATCAACGAGGATGATATTTTCACTGCTATAGGAGGTCTTATGAGGCAGTGCACGGGAGCATATGCGTGTGTTGCAATGCTCGCTGGCTTCGGGGTTATTGCATTCAGAGATCCAAACGGCATAAGACCAGTCGGGATGGCTTCCAGGAAAACTGACACTGGAAGAGACTACCTCTTTGCAAGCGAGAGCATCGTCGCTGATGCTTTGGGCTTTAGTGGATGGGAGGATGTGAAGCCCGGTAAGTACTTGTTCCCATCGTCAGCTGCAGCTATTGATGGGTTATATTGGCGGTACTAGGCGAAGCAGTGATCATCACTCGGTCAGGGGTTTCCAGGAAACAAGTTGGAGCTCATGCGACCTTTGCACCAGATATTTTTGAATTTGTCTACTTCGCTCGCCCTGATTCTGTGCTTGACGGCATCAGCGTTTACCGCAGCCGAATGGCTATGGGCGACGCACTTGCTGTTGAAGTTGACAAGGTTTTGAAGGAACGTGGCATCACAGTGGATGTCGTCATCCCAGTCAGTCGTCTCCGCTGTCTACGATTGTTTGGTCTAAGATGTTTTGCAGGTTCCTGATACATCTCGTGTTGCAGCTTTGAATCTCGCTCAGAAGCTCAAGTTGCCTTATCGAGAGGGCTTCATTAAGAATCGCTATGTCGGCAGGACATTCATTATGCCAGGTCAACAAATGAGGTAATACGCATGGGTTACCATAAACACGGATGAGTGATGCCGAGACTTTTTACAGACGGAAGAATGTCAGGAGAAAATTAAACGCAATGGCCCTGGAGTTTTCTGGGAAGAACGTTCTCCTTGTTGATGGTAAGATTTAGAACAGCTGGACCCTAACATCTCGTAACACATGTTCTAGATTCCATCGTTCGCGGCACCACCTCAGAAGAGATCATTCAGATGGCAAAGGATGTCGGCGCAAAAAAGGTCATCGTCGCAAGCTGTGCCCCTCCTATACGGTAACTCCCACCAATACCAATAAACCTTTGCCAGATGGCTGACAAAAATTCAGGCACTCGAATGTCTATGGTATCGATATGCCTTCAAGGACAGAGCTTGTTGCATATGGACGCAACACTGAAGAGATAGCCTCGGCTATTGGGGCAGATCTTGTTGTGTTCCAGACTCTTCCCGACCTCATCGCATCTGTGCGACAATTCAACCCATCTATTTCGACGTTCGATTGCTCCGTATTCACAGGAGAGTATGTCACCGGTGGTGTCAGTGAAGAGTATTTGCACCGATTGGAGTCGCTTCGTGCGGATAACGTTAAGAACAAGGTGGCCGTGAACTCACGGGAAGGCCAAAGTGAGGGCAGTAGGGCCAATGGACTTCACAATCGGGTGAACATAGTGGCATCTGGTGCTCCAGTCAACGGCGCGGACGACACAGTTGGATTACACAACACCTGGAATATCAGTTGACAGTCACCTAGTTACTTTTCTTCCGTAAACATCGAGTAGACTACAATAGTTTCTTGATATTTCCTGTCTCATAGATAGATAGATAGGTTCGGTCGCCTAGAGAGAACTCGAGGAGAGCATTTCTGCGTAGGGAGCGGGGTTGAAGGGATGTACGTCTAACAGATGGTAATGTCAACAGTATTATGGTCAATAGGAATAGAGAGGAAAGCAATTGCACTAGGCATACACTACTGAGACAGTCGTACAATCGATGTATAATAGATGATGACCCTAAGAAATAAAATGCAAGTGCGAAATGGAATCTATGAGTAGAACGTGTGCAGTGGAACGAATAGTTCAATTTGAAGGTTATCGGGTCGGCACGATACGTGCATTACCGGCCTGTCCTGGAAGTTGGGAAAGGGTGCGGTGCTTCGGCATGAATAGAGAAGCCATGGGATCCTTCTTGTTTATTGAAGGCTTAATCGGCCGCTGTTCCCCCGTAGATGGTGGCTGTACTATCGGTGAAGGTTTCGATGAGCGAGCAAAAGAAGGAGAAGCAGCCAAATTTGGAGGAGTAGCAGGGGTTAAGACCAACGGCGTAGTAGGTCGGCCAGATGACTGAAGCAGTGCGGGTGGGATAGACGGTCGTTTGTAGGTGACTGTCTTGACGGTGACCATATTCTTGGTTGGCTCGGAAGGTCTGGGTACTGCGGGCTTTATACTGGGTGAGCTGTGCAGTGTGCGCTGTCGCTTAGGAGGAATGACACGGGCAGAGTACATGGAGCTACGGAATTTAGTGGCGTCATTCTTGGTCTTCTGGAAGAGTGTCTTGGGCTGACTCGGCGCTCCCCCTTGATACAAAGCAATTAACCACTGGGAGGAGTTCAAAAAAAGGAAACATACACCCTCGAGCACGTTTTGGGGGAGGTAGGCGATCGGTAATCTTGACCTCACGTTCCTTCTTTCGTTCTTCTGCTTCCATGCGTTGACTGCGGAGCCGAGAACCCGCTAGTTCAAGCCGTTCGGCCTCTGCCTCTCGTAATAACTATTCCAATCTTTGTGAAGAAAGTATCCAGAAATTGAAGAAGAGGCTTACGAAAAATTGCTCGCGCCAGGATTCGGGAGCCTCGGAGCCTTCTTGAAAATACTGTTCGGCTAAGAGGGGAAACGTCTTCCAACATAATCGTTGCCATATTTCTTTTGTGGTGTTAGAGAGCAGTGGAGAGATCGTTGAATCCATTGAACGTACCAGAGGTATCATTCTCAAGATACTGCAGGAGGTGGATCAGGAATGAACGCAGGATAAGCAGGAGATGGGACGAACGGGTGATGATTGTTCCAGACGAAGAAGGGTATCTGCAGAGCAACATTCCAACACCGGCTTAATCACATCATACCGTATAGCTTCGTCTCCCAAACTGCTTATGGCTGCACGAATGACCTGCATTAGTCTCGGACGATATTGGTTGACATCTTCGGCACGCACAATCGGTGTATGTAGAGAGAACTGTACAAGACGATCACTTCAGCATACGGCCGCACATGATCGATAGACAACTCACCACGTTGACAATAGGTAACCAGCGTGGGCAAACGGCGAGACTGGCCCTCAGCTTCGGACATTATTAGGGAAGAAATGTAGCTCGAGATGTTACTCGCTACACAGATAACGAAGGGAATGCAGACAGTATGTATTTAAGCGAGTGGATTGGTCGAGTTCAGCCTTAAAGCTTGTCCGTCGCTTCATATTAATACGTACTGCCTCAGGCCCACGCCTGTGGCGCTGTGGGTTGTTACAGCCTTTTGGAGATTACCCGGTTTGGAAAGCCCCTTACTCAATTGTGACAGGGACAATAGACATGTCCACTATTAACCTTGTGGACGAAGGGAGATCGAGTATCCACATTAGGGTGGTCCTCGTCGCGTGTCCAAGTCGTTGTGGTGCACGAAGCTCAAGCTGGCAGTCTGTACATACGAGGCACTGAGTAAAAGCTAGCACGATCAGAAAACTACTACAAAGAGCCAGTCAGCATGTGAACCGGTATGCAGTGATTTTTTGTTTTGTTTTGGATCTGAAACGAATATAGCATCATTAACTCTGACCACGAAAACGGAAACACACGACGAGGTTGCTCAAACACTGCTGGGCGTTCAAACGTTCAACTCTTAATATCAATGTTTGAAACAATCCAGGCTGGTACCGACGATGTCTGCCTCCAAATTCAGGTCAATCAATCATGATAGCAATGATGGCATTCAAGTCCGGTCTGATATTTCATGTTCTCGCAGGAGTCCTGAGGGCCTGAAGCATTTCTCGACCACACACTCCTGGTCGGACAATACATTCTAATCTACAGGACCCCCGGTGCCCTTTCGCATCTCCCCTTTGCAATCCTTATGAACACTTCTTCAGGCTAATGATGAATGATTGCCTCACAAAAAGGGCATCGACAAGAATGACCATGATAAGTGGAATATGAACAGAATACGACATCTCCCTTCCGCATGTATGCCTATACGATGATTCCGAAGTTCCCAGCTCGATCCCAACGTCGTCCTGCCCAAAGGAGCGAGGATTTTGGGATTCTGTCTCATGACCAGATGGACAAATAATTCATTTACATGTCTATGAAAGACTCCTTCTGCACCGTCACCAAAATAGACCGGTGTGACTGGAGCGTGTCATTAGTTCCTCATATGGCACTATAGTAACATAACTACTGACCATGGCAGTTCTCAAGGGCCGAGTGGGAGGCGCCACTTCAACTTCGGGATGAGCGAGCATGCTCCTCCGAAATGTTGGAAATTTCTCCTGCGACAGATCGTCCAGCCCGGGATTGGAATAATTGGAGTCTCTCTGGGGCTCACGAAGTGCGAAAGAATTGATGCGACTTGCGTTGGATGATTGCGTGTAGTATCCCATATTCAGAAGTGCGATGTACGAGTTGACGTAGACTTGAGACGAATCTATTGGTCAGCACGATCCTCGGAGAATGCATTGTTTCGTACGTTTAGCTACTAAAAATTGAAGGCTGAAAAAGATGGAGCTGTATGGGATCACTGCGCACTGTAGGTGACCTGAGAGCCGAGATGGAGGGTACAACGATTGGAACCTTACTATGATTATAGATGTCAACGCACATATACTGGATAAAAGATAAGTCAAGGTATGGGATGAGCTGGAAGAATCGTTACCTCGTCAGACAACCACTATTGATGGTATAAAAAATCAGCTTTGTGATCAAGCAATCCGTGCTAAAATAATCTGGTAGAATATCAGATCCTTAGAATAAACAGAGTACTCCTTACTTAGAGAACCCAGTGCGGGAGCTAGCGAGGAGATACCATAGCGATGATGTAATGAGCACATCGAGGAAAGTAGCTACGCCGAAAGCCGTGAAAACGGTCCACCTGGTCAAAAACATTCCATTCGAAATATCGTGATCATATCTGTCCACCATTAACACTTCACTTCACTGTGTTAAGAATAACTATGTCTACTCACGTTACCCAAATCAGAACTGATCGGGTTAAATAAGCCAACGCCAAGAATAAGTACCGTGGAACACTCACAGCTGGCAACACCTGAAGTATTTTTCAAATTTAAAAGAGGGCATTCCCTTTGACAGATCGAGCTTACCTGAACCTAGAACGATGACTATGCCCTAAACGACAAATTGAGATGACAAGACTAGAATGCGACTTCCGATGGCAAACGCACTGGTATTATGCGGAAAACTCTTGCACGATCTCTGCCAACTAGATTCGCCGCATCAGTCGTGTCAAACGCATTGTAGCGAAGAAATACCTATCCATATGCGGTGACCATACAGTCTATGAATCAAGAATGACTTAGTAGAATGTTACATGCACAATGCGCATCAAATTCACATATGTATCACACAGACGATGAGAATCTGCGGGTGCATGTCTGAGACGGATCATAGAGCTTATGAAATGATTTACGCTGAACACAATCTGAAGCTGCACAAATGCAATCAACACTATGATAGCAGGAGTTGCACTAAAGCCCCAAGTAAGGACTCACTCTAAAACTCCATACAACTTCTTTGAGCGTATAGGGATTTGCGAGTTTGGTGACCAAATAAAAGTAGACGCAATGGACGACCAACGTCGTTTGCGTAGCATCGAGTATCCTAAACCATCTTGACGTACTTGCCAATACAACTCAAAGGGACACCTACCAAAGAAACAAGACCTGATATAGCGTCAATGACAGAACAGAACAGAACAGAAGACACACCCAGACGTACGATGAGCCTATAAAATTTTGTCCATCTACCAGCATGCGTCCGAAAGTAGACAAAAGCTTGAATGCTAGTCAGACCAAACAGCCTGATCCGTGAGGTATGGTACGACAACGGGAAGTGTTCAGCCTTATCTGCGTAGTGAGCAAGCAAACAATTTTTACTAACGATGCTGTGAGGATAGACCCAATAAAAAATGCTGCGTAAATGCCCCTGAGGTCAGGACGGATCGGTTGCGGTGGGACATGCGTTGAGGAGGACATTCATGAATATCGCTGGCTGAATCAACTCCGACAGCAACTGTATATATTCCACGCGCACAAAGCGAGTAACACTTTGCTATCTGCAATGTGATGGTTCTCAGGCTGGTGCTGGCAGTTCACGATACATTCGTTGGAACACGTAAAGAACACGCAGAATGAAACAGACCGAGTTATCAGGACTATCGATTTATCCGATCGGATCGCCAGCGTACATGCCAAGAACAATATCAGAGACAGAACTTTCGAACATTAACTGTCCAAATCATGACCTTACCTTCAAATAATGGTTTGACCAATACTTAGCGACCGGTCTATCCAGACACTTGCCATGTAGCAGCGTTATGCGGTATGCGATCTTGGCAGCGAAGTCGTACCTTGATGCCTCAGACCATGTACCTCTTGGCCGACATCTGCATTGGGTGTTGTGCCGTGTATAACTGAAGTCGTGGGGTGCTTCCGGCACTTACGAAGTGCTACCATGCAACAGCAGAAACCTTATTTGACATGCCTAATAGGAACCATGGCTTACGATATTTGTTCGCTGAAATCCCGCATATGCAAATCAGCGTAGTATAAAGGTACAATTGTCCGGATAAACAAACCCACGTTTTTCACCTTTAATGTATCACCAAGGAACTGGGAGCAGGAGCATGCAGCGAAGAGATTATCGCCTGCATTTGTCAAGAGAACAAGCGTTAGCATACCTATGGTTAGGGTCACATAAAAACAGTAATCACATCCAGGTGGCCTCCAGACTACTGCACCTCCACCGTCAAAGATCATGGACGGCATCCACAATGCGACTTGTTTGCATCATTATGATATTCAAGTAAGTACCTGACGCTGTTGCGTGAGGGCGTGCGATCAGACTCATAGAACGTGGGAGGACATACACAGTCGCGACCAATTCAGAGACGAGAAGTGGCAACTCCCAAATTCAGACTTGATGACGACCTTCCTGCTGGCAAGATAAGGGTCCAAGTGACGAAATTGAACGCAAGGCCGCCTTGTCAGACGTGACAAACTTTCCGCAATTCCGATCTAATTAAATGCCCACCTAATGAGACGAAGTGGTGAGCGTCGCAGGATAAGTCAAAATGTGCAGCAGGTATTACGCGGGAAGTTCCGTAGGGTTGATAAAGGAACAACGTAGGATGACATAGAATGATAGAATGTCCTGCCCAACATAAACTAGTCAAATCAACAGGGAACTCCGCACCTCATGGCCTAGCGAATAACAGCAGTGACATGGACGAGCATCATTCGAAACGCGTTTTTAGTCAAGTCCAGATATATCATGTCCTGTGTGGAGCATCCTGCACGAACATTTCGAGTGCTGTCACAGCAGATGATTTGTATTCACTTGAATGAATAATGGAGCCGAGAATTCAAGGAGCTCTGTAGGTAGATTCTAGTTGACAGCGCATCCATTCATACTTCCTACGATCAATCCTAGAGTGAATCCCAGAGTGACGGAGCAGACGGAGGGTCCAGCAGGCATGCCAGCAATAGAACCTGGATATGACGATGTTTTTACAACAGATCGACTTGCAGATGGATAAAGCATCCGCTCCGAGTCAATAAGCCTTCTACAGGGTGTAGAACTCTAGGCGAGACGCAGTTAGCGTAACTGCGACTTCAACGATAGTTTAGCTAATGGACTGATGGACAGTCTGGCAAGACTCCGGGGGTATTGTTTAGCCGTTCGGCTCAATTCGGTCGGAGACTTGATTCATAGCTGGCACATTGCGCTCACCTTCGTGAGGGCTACATTGTCAACCTCGATGCTGTCAGCCACAAGGTGACAAGTTGACCACGTTATGTCGCGACGGCAGCGGGTGATAGGCACAAAAGACACGGGGGAGGGAAGAGGAACGTTGAGAAGAAGGTCTGTGTGCAGTAAGTGTACAGAGTCAGCTGGTATCCATCAGTGATGGAAGAGTTGATGGGACATACTAATTACTATTAGAAGGGTCAAACTCAACTATAATCTCTTCGGTTGGTTGTGTTGGTCCATGTGGGAAAATGACAATTTGTAATGATGAATCATCTACGACGGTCGGTCATGTGTTATCATTTTCTCGTCCTCGGGGGGGATCCGGGGATCTAACGCGGTCATGCTGCCTTGGTAGATATTGACGCGCCTTGTAGCTCAAGTCGAATCTCGTCCGCGTTGTGGTCTTTCACGTGCATAGTTTGGGACCTGATGCGATAGATCATTAAAGTCGTATTAGACTGGTCTTCAAAATCTCCACATGGTCTCATGGGTATTTTTATTAGTCGAGGTCTTCATCTGATATCGATTAACCCTTTTCGGCCAGAAGTTCGAATCGACGTTCGCAACGAGTCACGACACGGTACCAACAACGTCTTCTTCAACTTCTTCACCTGCTCAACCGGGTTTTCCCATAATTTTAGCTCTAAGGCTGATGTCGCTCCCCGCTAGGAGGACCTAGGCATCATATTCACATAAGCTATATGAGCAGCCAGCTCTCAAGCTGCTTCAACCTTTGCTGCAGTGTCGACTCGAAGAAACCGTGATGTCCGAGATGGTGCTCTTTACGTGATCCGCCATCCAGAGCATTCGATCCAAGTTGAAAGCGCTAACCGGGTCGAAAGTCGGCAACGCCTGGACCTGATCAGTCAGGCTAATGTCCAATTACCGGTTATCACCGTCATGCACGTGTATGTCATTTAAGTCCATCGGCAGTCACCAATCATTGCCTGCTTTTGCCCTCTGTTTTTTCGCTCATATCTATGATCCATGCAACAGCAGGAAAGGCCCCCAACGTCAAACCTCTCCTTGAAGAGCCTCCTAACATTTCCTGTGCGTCAAACACGTACTTGAGTAGAAGCAATACCTCACAACTTGGTTATCTATCTAGTACCGAATCTGCAACCCACCCCCATCTGTCGGCAAAGTACGGTCGTGTGGGGTGACACCATTCCCGGAAGTTCATCTTGACGATGTACTCGAACGCAAGCATCTTCCGCCTCTTGGTCTCAAGGATTTCGAAGAATATCTTCTCTATGTCGAGCAATCATCAGAAAATCTCTACTTTTTGCTATGGCTGAAGGAGTATACCACCCGTTACCACATCTGGTCACAGCGTACCAAAGCCACGAGTGCTCCAACTCCTCCTGATACTTCAACACGACAAGCCTTTCTCCCTTCATCGTCGTCAGACCCCTCGCTTGCCCTTTTTTATGCAAAAGCAAAACAGACCTTCTTCACCCCTGGCGCCGAGTACGAACTCGATGTCCCTTCAGATATCCTTGCTCCATTTCATTATTCATCTCAAAACTCTGCATTTTCCACCAGAGTTCGCGGGACAGCCATTTCAAACCCACCAAGCCCCCACCCAGATCCTACAGTGTTCACAGAGGTGGCATTAGAGACGCGCGCTATGCTTAAAGAGTCCCTTTCGCGCTTTGTTCGTGCAGCTTCTACCAATGTTGGCTCACGCAGAGCAGCTTGCGGCATTGCTGCCGGGATGATATGTTTATGTATTGCTGGAATATTACCTCTTGTACTGACGTCTGGTGGCTGGGTGGGTGCTCCTCATGGACGGTGGTGGAGGTTATCAGCATTCCCGGGCATATGGCTTGGTTTGGCATTGTTGTTCTCTAGTTTCAACGGAGTGAGTGAATCCCCTCCCTCCAAGGAGTCGTGCGTGAGGTAACTCCCCTGTTTATAGGTTTGTCTCATGGTGTATGTCTTTGGCGACCTGAGACAACTTCGAAAATTTGAGCTCGCTAGGCCAGCTATTTCTAGGCCGCTACCTTCCCCTGCCCCTGCGGTCACATCAATATCAGCGCCGTTACCTCACCCGCCAGCGCCTATCGAGAGGCCTACCATCGTAGTATCCAGGCACCACGACAGGCAGTACAATCCAGAATTCTGCTCCTCTAGGTCCTTCCAATCCGCACCATACTCCCTTTCTGCTGAAGGACGCTCATTTTCGCAAGCCTCGGAGTCGTATTCTGACACCGAACTATCCAGATCTTCAGAAGACGAAAATTCTTCTTCTTCATCCGAGTCGCCAGAGATTGAAATTTCTCCTGCTTACTTCGATGACGTGCCTGCACCTGAGGGTCCAGCGACAGCCACAGGCTTGTATCGATCTCATTACCGTTCTGCGCAACCATCATCTATCGCGTTCCCTTCCATGGCACATACTCGACAACGCCCAAACCCTGTTACATTTCTCTCACCTCTTGAATGTCACGTTTCCAGCGGGAATGCCGTGCACAGTTCAGCTGTCAAGCCACATACCCTAGATGATTCTAGTTCCTTCGGTCCCAGCGCGGCGTTCATTCGTCATGAGGTAGACCTCGATGCGGAAGACGATCTAAAAGAGCGCGTCTACACAGGACTAGACTCGAAGGAGTGTTTTGACTTCGATCTTCTTCCAAAGTCTGTCAAAGGAAATGCGATCCATGCGGATAACATTCGTCTCCCGAGCAATGCTTCCCCACCTGTCACTGTCACCGTCGCGGGACATACTCCAACACTATCTCTCGAAGCTGGAAATATCACTCCTTCAAACAATCTCCTCAGTTCTACCATCGCGCGCCAGCAGTATAAATGCAAGCGCACATACGCACCTCCATTATCACTCGTTTCACAAACTTCTTCAATTCAATCACCCAACTCGTACACGCCATCGCCGACGCCGAGCTCTAATCGCTCTCCCATTATCTCCTTCATGGTTCCTTCTTTCACTGCGGGCGTTCCTGCTTTCAAGGCACCGATGACGCGTGTGCGGTCGCCCGTGGTAATCCGAGCTCAATGGGAAATTGTTATTCGCTCCGCTGTCTTCGGATTGATTTGCGCTGTAACATGCGTCGCCGTTTTTATCGCTGTTCCGTGACATTTCGTGCGCTGTGGAGTCATAGCCAGGAACGTTGCCTTTGGTGATTTGATCAGTGCCTTGTGCTTTATTTTGTGGCTTTTCATCTTTTGCATGATCGTGTTTCCTGAACGGCCCGTCACTGACTCACTTGTCTCGTTCTCCTTATCGCATTTTCCGACGCTCCTTTCCCATGCTTGCCGTCCTCAATTTTATTGCTGCTGATTAATCTCACTGAAAATACCTGTATGCATTTGAGATATCCTTGTTGTATTCTGATACTTGTTCTTGACCTACGAGTTGCCTGCGATGAAGGGTAGTCGTGCCCAAAAATTACATAGCAGTCTCAGAAGGGATCTGTGGTGGTGCGATAGACGAATTGATCCTATGCAAACCATATAGGCGAATGAAGTTATTCTCCCTTTCTATGCGGTAGACACGATCTTGAGCTGCTCATGTTTGTTTGTGACGATACGTGACGACTTAATTGTACATGTGCATTCAGGGACCCATCTGCAGATGTTTTTGGTTTTTCATTATACTATGTCTTAGAACATGCGTACTACACAGTCAAGAAGCCGAATAACAGGAATATGGAATGAAATGCCGGGTGTTCAACTGGTGTATCAGCGAGGTGAATGATTAATCGAACCATAGCAGTATCGACTGCGCATCGCGAAACGGCAGCACGCCCAACACGGGCCCGCACGACGGATACAACGAAAGCCCGCTGAGAAGCAAGCTGGTGAAGATGTGAGCAAGGGCCGCACCAGCTCACGTCTTCACTAGCTTGCTTCTTTGAGCTGCCAGTGGCTCGGATGCATACGAGTGCATCAAGTGCACGTGGTGATCTCTGTTACATGTAGTGGGTCTCAAGGATGTGTACATCGGAGGTTGCAATTGCGACGATTGCGTGCACAGAGTACAAGGAAGGAAATAAGGAGCGAGAGCGAGTTCGGGGGATGTAAGAGAGAATGTATAGAGGCTTTGGACGTCGGTGGCTACAAAATTATGTCAGCACACACTCGTTCTGTCACAACACTATTGGCAGCTCGACTGTGTTGTTGTCTCACACGAGCAATGACCGTTGTCATCATCTCAGGTCTACAGCAAGCTAATGTGTGTATCTTGGTATGTCATACTTGCATGCTCTACTCTGGGATCCTCCGTTATTGCGCGCTCCGACAATATACTACATTCTTACCATTCCTTGTGCATCGCACATTGACAGTGTAAGATCGTTCCTTCCAGTCCGATTCTCTCGCATGGAATGCTTGACGAGGAATCAATTCTCCGAGTTTCCGTGACAACTTAGCACTTGCACTGCTACGGAACACCTGGTTTAGTGGGCTTTTCTGGCCGCCTGAGTCATTCTATGTTGTGTCTGAGTCGTTGTTTTATGGATGGTACGTCGTCTTTCTTCAATGTGTCGGTCGATAGTTTCTAAATCCCGGAGCAGTGCATTATCGAGAATCAGATGTTCGGGGCACTGAGCAACTGTTTGCGACGGCATTAATCATCAAGCGAGGTAACAACTGCTTTGAATTGGGAAACATTCGAGGCTATATGCTGCTGAAAGATAAAAGCTACCAAGAGGCATGTGTCCATCTTATCCTATATCCTAGTATTCTCTCAGCGAGAGCATTCACCTATCGTGAATAATCACGATGTTTATTCTTGTTCTAATCGCTTCTATTATATCATTGATTAATGCTGCAGCCATAGTTTCTCGCTCGCAGTCTTACCCATCATCTCAACCCGCTGTACTCGGTCCTAAAACCAGACTGACCATAGGTAATAAGGTTATCGCTCCTGATGGTTTCGAACGCTCGTGAGTCTATCGCCACGACACTCAAAGCTCACTCCTGATCTTTAACAGAGCAACTCTTGTCGATGGGGTATTCCCTGGACCCTTGATTGCAGCCCAGAAGGTTTATTTCTGCTGACCTTCTTGTCGTGTACTAGTGCTGAACTCACAATAGGGAGATGACTTTGCCATTGAGGTAGTTAACGAACTCCAGGACGAGTCGATGTTCATGAGTACCAGCGTCGTAAGCAACGCCAAATCATCGACTTTATTAACGATTAATCTTGTTTACTGCAGCACTGGCATGGTCTTTACCAGAACGGAACGAACTATGCCGATGGGGCGTCCTCCGTCACACAATGCCCCATTGCCCAGAATCACTCCTCTCTACACACTTTCTCCGCCCCAAATCAAGCAGGCACTTACTGGTATCACAGTCATTATTCCGTCCAATATGTAAGTATCGCTTGAACCTTGCACATACAGCGGGGTACTGACTTATGGAACAGTGTGATGGTCTGAGGGGCCCCCTGGTAATTTATGATCCTCATGACCCTTTGGCACATATGTACGACATCGATGATGGTGAGCGTACAATCGGTTTATATTATCGCCCTCTGACCGCCATGTGTCGCCAGCAAGTACCGTGGTCACACTTTCAGACTGGTATGTTTTACGAATATTGATATTCTTCCCGGCTAAAGTAGTATCACTAGGTATCATACTGTGGCCACCGTCTTGCGCTACGTCATAGGTCATAATGCCAGCTCTTCGCTTATCAATGGACTCGGTCGATATGATGGCGGACCCATGTCTGCTCTTGCTGTGATTACTGTTGAGCAGGGAAAGCGTTATCGCATGCGCCTGATTTCAATGTCGTGCGATCCCAACTTCCAGTTCTCCATCGATGGCCACAACCTAACCGTCATCGAAGCGGATGGAGAGCTGACCGAACCTTTGTTGGTAGATCAGCTCCAGATTTTCGCGGGTCAGCGTTACTCTGTGGTTCTGGCTGCCGACAAACCGGTGGATAATTACTGGATACGCAATCTTCCTAATACAGCGAACGCTTCCTACGAGGGAGGAACGAACTCTGCTATCCTGCGCTACAAAGGCGCCCCCGAGGTCGAACCGGCTACCGTCAATACCGCACCCACAAACTCATTGGCAGAGACCAACCTGCACACTCTGATCAATCCTGGTGCTCCTGGCATTCCAGAGTATGGAAAAGCAGATATCAACCTCAACCTGGAGGTTTCCGTCGTCGATGGAATCTTCTATGTCAATAATGTCACATTCAAACCACCCACCGTTCCTGTTCTACTCCAAATTCTCAGCGGAGCTCAAGAACCCTCTCAGCTGCTCTCAAATGGGAGCGTCATCGTTCTCGAGGCCAACAAAGTGGTAGAGCTGACGTTTTCAACAACCGGACTAGGTGCACTTCATCCACGATGGAAGAATTTTATCGACAGGCTCACCACTGAATGGAATGGATACACGATATATGTGAGTTATATTGTGTTTCGTATTATCACGCAATCAATGACCAATCTCAGTCCACTGTGATGCTCGCTGTTGACGTCAGCTTTTTTTCGATCCAATCTGTCCAGACTCAAACGTCTGTGACCCTTCTATCTGTCTACCCTGTGCATCTTGGGTTCGTTAGTGGTATCGTTGGTATTGGCCGGACAGGTTAATGACAGCCGGCGACGGTCTGCTAAAGATGTGGTAAGATTCTTTTCTTGTCTATTTTATGATCTGATCTGTATCATCTATGTCCACAGGCCTCTTTCATGGAAGGGATGTCGCGTTCTATACTCGGCCTCGAGAGCCTTGCCCTTATGTTGAGTCTGCCGTTTGCACTTCTGATTTGGGCGTATGTGTCTTCTTACATTATACGGGTCAGTGGCTCAATCTTTAGCAGAATGGTGTTCTTTGCTGCAGCATTGTCCGTCCTGATTTTCCGCACCGCTGATGTTATCGCCATCTCAATTGCATCTCCGGTGTGGTTCGCCATCTTGTGCCTAGTGATGTGGCTTGTACTAGCGGCCAATAACATTCACGTTTCGCACTTGAGGCCCTGGGTTATAGACCGATCGTTCCGGCTCATTTACAACTAGGTAGTCTGTAAACTGTGCGTGGTGTTGCCTCGGAAGCAGAAAATGTTTTTGCACCTATTTGGCGTCTGTCGGCGGCTTGATTCATAGTACGAACTCGGCTGTACGTTTGCTGCTCAACACTTCAATGTTCAATGTCACACGCCAATGGTCATTAATACAGGAGAAGCATACGTACAGTCATTTTACCCGTCACATCTTCTGCCAATCTTGTTTCCTCATCGTGAGACTCGACCACATGCACTCTAATTCCTGTTGAACATCCAACATTAGTGCATTCCACCGATTTTCATCGAGACCATTATTCACAGCAGATACCTTACAAACGATTTTCTACATCCAAATCTCCCCAGAGCATACAGACTCCCTGAGCTATTCAACGTCACTCCTAACCTTGGTGAGGTTCTTGCACTTATATCAAGCGATTGATACGCCGTCCTGGCACTCCTTCAACGAGTGGTGGTTCACATATTCAGACTCCTCCACAGCTTTGAGCAGATGTTCATGGAAGTAGATTCCTGGCTCAGCAGTTTATCTAAGTAAAGAGGTGAATGATCCGTGCAAGATTCGAACCTACTAGTTGAACCATGCCTCCTGCGAATGGCATCTGGAGCCGCAAGTACATGCAAAAACTGGGGTTCCCGACTTCGTCTTGTGGAATAGTCGTGGTATGGTGGTTTACTTGCACTCGAGACATCGTGCGCACCCATCCCTAGCAAATGTCCAACTCCATGAGGGAAAAAGACTGAGCTGACCAGAGAATCTCGTCTTTTGAACATTTGCAGAGTCCGAGGTCGAGGAATCCTTGCACAGCTTGTCGTGGTGTAGGCGGTGCTAACCCAGCCCGAGTGGGCTTGATATGGCACGGTTGGTGCTTGACATGGTGATACAGAGGCTGCATCAGACTTGACGAGGTGAGGTCGAGGCTTGACACTGTCTAAAACCCAACATCAGATCGACAGATACAAGATGCACATTACTAATTGATACATTTCGAGCCTCACAATCGATCTCGAGGTTGAGCGGAGCACCACCCACCAGACCACGAAGACACGCTTGAATGTCGCCATTGTAGGTATCAGCACTCGCCCATGGTCACACCGCGCACGAGTTTTGGACTGCAAGAGCTCTCTTGATGAACTGTCATATCTGCGTGCATCACACTATATCGTCATGATATCCATAGTGACCCCAGAGTATATGACAAAAGCGGGTTAGCAAATAAAGGTGGATATGGGTTTAGTACTCCTCATCCTGTTCCTCTTCGCCTTCCTCTTATTCTGCTTCTTGATAGTAGCTGCGATACGGTCATAAGTCCGCTGACCAGTCAAGATTCCGGGAGGGTTACAGCAAGACCTGGCAGATTTCAGAATACGACAGCTAGTAACGGCATGCTGAAGGTTGGGCGGCATTGGGTTCGAAATAGGCTTCTAGAAACATGTGAGATGGAGAGAGATGTTCGCCATCAGATTTTCTCACCGCCACCGAAGTAGTCCATCAGATGCACCTGGCGCTAGTTGCAGATCTGAGCGCTCCGTCTATACAGCAATTGAGCCGTGATGCGGACACAGGATGACACATGGAACGTACCATAAAACATGCTTCAACGAGCAGTGCCTCAACTCCAATCCAAACGCCCACTGTTGGCTCGTGATTTGAACACTCTAAACAGTGCTCCTCGTCAGTGATACTCTAGGGTCTTCTGCAACATATCCACCTGCTTACCAGCGACTTTGGATACTCACCAATATCTCCGTGCATTTTCCAATACGCAACTGAAATACACAGTGCCGAAGTTGGAGGACCGGATTCATATAAGCAGGGTGTCTGGTGAGCGATGGCTTTTTAGTTTATATCAGCGAGAGCTAAAGTTAAAAAAGATAGGCAGGTTGACTCACCAGGAATATTTTCCGTCGCCAGACAACTCGTTTTAGTTCAAAGATCCTGAGGGCTTCTCTCGCATATATCCGCTATACTCGTGACGTCCCTCGCGCCGACCATGTCTTTCCCGACGAATAAGAAGCAAAAGATGCCAGAAGTCACACCCCGTCAGACGATACGAGTGCCCTATGATATAACAGGTGTTGTGCACCTGCCCGGGGGACGACGAATCGTGACATGTTCGTGGAATAATTTACTACGACTATGGGACTTGGAGAGCGGCGCACAGATAGGCGAGGACTGGCGAGATGAGGAGGACGAGAAGGATGAGCTAACAAGGATGTACAGCATAGCATTGTCTCCAAACGGCAAGATTATTGTCAGCGGGAGTGGGAAAGTAATGCGGGATGGGAAAGTGAAGTTGTGGGATGTCGAGACGGCAAAGGTCGTCGCAAAATTGTCAGGGCACACTGACAATGTGTATTCAGTGTGTTGGAGTGCGGACGGTAAGCGAGTGCTGAGCGGATCCTTGGACAAGACAGCAAGAGTCTGGGATGTCAAGACCGAAAAAACAATCCTGACAATCGGAAGCTGCTTGCAAGCGATACAGATATTCTTCCAAGACGGTCCCAAGACCATTCCAACGCAAGGTCACGATTTTGAAAACAACTAAAAACACCCCTCATTGGAAGGTCATTGCAAGTCACATGATATCATTCCAAGCGTTTCGAGAACTTGTAAGGACTGTCTGATTCTTTTAAGGTAGCGATTTGAATTTAAAAATTGTACAAATTGCTAAATACCGATTTTCTGATATTTCGTACCTTCTACCGGTGTAGATGAGGAATCTTGACTAGACGTGAAAACACTTAAAACAAAAGGGTGCTCAACAGCAAGACCGGGATACGAGACAACGACTCGACCCAAGGGACAACCACTGAGAGAAGTTCCTCGAAATAAAGTGGAGGGAAACTCTATGAGCTAGGCGGGTGCTAACAGGCGCGAGAAGATAACGCGCGCGAAGGCGCGCGTACGCGAGGCAAAGACGCGCGTGAGCGGGAGGTTCGAGAATGCGCGCGCGCGAAGCGAAGGCGCGCCTTGAGCGTTAAGGGAAAGGTCCTATTGAGGAGTGAATGCCCAGATGGATGATTGACAGGAGAATAAGATCTTATAACAAGTGAGGAGGTGATCTATACACTTTCCAGTACACAAAGATAAGGGGAAAGTCAGTACCAGAACCAAAGGAAACCCTTCTCTATTTAAGAATGGAGATGGCACGCTTCTGAGCGCGCTCCCGAACCGAGTAACCATATCAACTCTAATTATAACTAAGTTTAAATAAACTTTCTATAAGTAGCGCGGACGTCGGACCAAAGATTTTATTAGTTCAATGGATAAGATAGAAATAATGCACCAGCGAATCAGTAAGGACATGGGACGGATGGACGGACGATAGTGCGAAGACCTATGAGGAGGCGCGCATATAGCGCGTGCGTAGGTAAGGTGCGCCTAAGTGCGCGCGAGTTCGGATAAGGCACGCGCGAGACTGGTACTTAGGAGTAGAGCTGTAACATATAGGAATGTATGGGTAAAGGCCGTATATTCGGCATTGAGACGCACAAGTCTCTACACCGGGGCATTGCACCAGGTCAAAACCACATTGATCGCGGTTAGGACTTGAGGAGTCTGCTTTCTCTGTTTGCCGTTGATCGCTGTCAGAACTTGAGGAGTCTGCTTTCTCTGTTTGCCGTTGATCGCGGTCAGGACTTGAGGAGTCTGCTTTCTCTGTTTGCTGTTGATCGCTGTCAGGACTTGAGGAGTCTGCTTTCTCTGTTTGCCGTCAATAAAAGCTTGCAAATCCTGCAGAAGAATCAGTACAATAAATGTGAATAGATAGACAAGCTGACCTCAAATAGACTGACACGAGACAAGGCATTCACAGCGAGAGTGATATGCACTGTTTCAGCATCAAGTACATAAACGGAATTGATACCGGCTATTGATAGGACTCCCCGGTCATCCTGGTGCCGTTTGTTACAAGTAACATCGGCTACATAGCCCCCCTATCATTTTTCCCCTTCATCCTTGCCCTCGTATGCCTCCGGCTCGTACTTCTCTACCGACTATCCATTGACCGGATCCTCGGGACCGTTCCCGTCCCTCGTCCCCCTCCTGTTGCACCAACGTGCGCACGTGCCCTCGGGCTATGATTCGTTCTGACTCGTGCCACCAATGTGGCTTTCCTTATCTTGTCTTATCTTTCCTCTGACTCATGTGTGTTACGCATTGTATCACTTACCGTTGGCTCGTTCCAACGTTTCTCGGTCTCATTCCGCATTCGACCTCACATCACTAATCAGGCTCTGCTACCAGCGTACCTATACCCTTTCCGTTTCCCCTTTGCCCTTACCTACAGTACGGTAGCCTTGCCCTTAACCCTTTCCACTTAGTATAAGTAGTTGGTCACCCTGTACTAGATTCCCTAACTTGAATCTACTCAATCTTCCCTGGAACATACTTCCCTCTGAAGCCCCCTCAGCTTCAGTCTCTAGTATCTTTTCTTAGGTGCTCATCGCGCCTAAAGTCTACCTCGATCGACTACTCATCGTTTGGACAAGACTGTCCTTACCTTGAGAACGTCAGTAACTTTGAAGACATCCATCTTAGAAGTCACGTGACACGCGCATCTCTGATATCTGCCGACTTGTCGTCACCAGTCTCAGTCGCTATACCGGACCCTTCCGGTTACGTCACGAACATTAGCGGACGACGCCCCTCTTAGGGCTCCGTACAACAGATCTATTTGAGTGCGTAACACCGTTTGTTCGAGGAAATGGGAGTGGCAGTGGCAGAGGATGCAGATGAGATACATCTGACAGTAAGTACATAAACGGAATCGATACTGGCAATTGATAGGACTCCCTGGTCATCCTGGTGCCATTTCTTCAAGGAAACAGGAGTGGCAGTGGCAGAGGATGCAGATGAGAGACATCTGACGGTAAACAGTCGCTCCTTGCTTTGTTGATGGGTCAATGAGGTAAGCTATCAATATACATAATGTCAGTACTAAGTTTGGCTGAAGAGTTCGACAATTCAAATGCACCTCGATGTCAGGTTCAGACGTCATGCTGATTGTTGGGAGTTCAGAGAGTGTCAGATTCACACTGGCCCAAGTGCCGCCACTGAGGAGTTCGAAGAGAAGGTTCAGCATGTATGATAATCGATGGCCAGGGTGTTGCTACCACTGAGGAGTTTTATTAAATTGAAGAGAAGCTAGAGAGATTCTGAAGATGGAATTCTAAGACAAACAAGAGATGATTGTGGTTGAAGCGAAGTGTTGCAAGCCTAAGCGAAGACAAACTTCAACATTTGTTTGGCCTTGTATTAATATATCCATTAATGGAAGTTCGTTGAAATCACGTCAAGTCATTTGAAGTCCATACACAGTCGACAAAAGCATGTATTTCAATAGAAAGTCTATACTAATGCAAGCTAATTTCAATGATAGAGCAGCGAGGACACCTCATTTGCCCTTCCGGCCTGACCGCCTTACAACAACATCTTCACCCTCCGCAGTTGTCTTGCCTTTGCGCCGTGCCTTCGGTACCGCTGTAGAAACAACAATACAATGAGGAACAAAAGAAGCTCCTGACTGTATCTGTAAAAGTTGTAAGGTCGCGCGCTGCCTAGTCTGCGTTACTTGAGAAGCAAGTGCGTTCGACCCTATAGGGGAAGTGAGTGCAGCAAGGATCTAGAAGTGTGCGCTTAAGCGAAGCGCGAGAAAGCGCAGGAGCGCGCAAGGTACAAAGGTGCGGGAACGCGCGCGCGTATTAGCGCGAAGCGCGGGAAAGTGCGCGCGCGTATGCGGAAATGAGAAACTAAGCTTAAGTAGTGATATAAAGCAAGATAAGAGATATAAGAGTGCAAAATGTAAAGGAATAGCTTTCTACTATATTCTGCTAAGTAGTAAGTGGGTAGTAACTAGTAAGTGAAAAGTAGGAAAAGTAGGTTAGTAATAGTATGTACTGCTGGCGCTTATATAGCGCGCCTAAGCGCGGTCAAGCGGAGCCGAAGCGCTACCGAGTAGGTATGTAAATATATATATGAGTGAGAATGCATGATAAAAATAAAGGTGGAACTATGCTAATAAAGGAAATGGAAATATACGCACTAGGGAGCTTGGTGGACAGTGGATGGATGCTTCTGGATGGCTGGCGCCATAGGGCGCGCAAGCGCGGGAACGCACGCGCGCGTATACATCGCGAAGCGCGGGAATGGTGCGCGCATGGCGCGCGTTGCGCGGGAAAGCTGCGCGTCATATAGAGATAGCTGTGGGTAGTGCACAGAGTGACGCTACAAGTTCGTGCTATGTACTTCCTAGTGTAAAGCACCATATCACGCCATGAGAGGCATAATTCTCTACACCGCGCATGCTTTAGTTGGAGCAGGAAGCTCAGATTCAGCAGGATCCTTGTGCCTAAGATTGAGCTCTTCCATTGCAGTGGAGATAGATTCTGAACTTCGAGCCATATTGATGACAGGAGGAGCTGTTACTACAGGGGGAGCTGCAACAGCTGGAGGGGGAGCCGAAATTGAGGGAGCCAGAATTGAGGGAGCTGAAGTATAGTGAGACACAGGTAGTAGCTCATTGACTTGGACACTACCGCTATTAGTATTATCATTAGCGTGCTGTGGCGGGATTGGTGGTGTCCCATCATCAACAACTGGTTCTGCTAATTTGTCTTCTATTGCGCGATCGAAGTCTTCTTCCCATGTGTGACCCAGTCCGTCATCATTGAGAGTAGTAGAGGGGGGAACATAAGACGAAGTTCCTGAGAAAAGAGCATCATTGAAGAATGTGATGACCTGGTGCGCCCAGGCACCTCCAGTCAGTAAACGCTGACGGTAGAAGTTGTGGTATTCGCGGTATGGAATCTTCATAGTGTCACCAATTTCAGTGAGTTCTGCATCACCAGAGAGTAGGAATATTGCCTTGTATGAGAATAAGTTGTGACTCTAACAACCACACAAAACTGATTTGGACTCACCACGACAGCAGCAGCAGCAATCATACCTGGCGTTATAGCTCGCAATTTCCAGATCTTGGCTTTTGTCCTAGAAGATGCAGCGCCTGTAGGTGCCAATGACGACTTGCCGAAGAGCGATACTTTCAAGACCTATAATCATATATGAGTGTGTTAGCCCATATTGAAATATTGAGCAAAAAGAGATGTACCTGCATGAGCTTTGCAGTTTTCAACAACTGATGTGGTACTGGATTATCAGGTCTAGGAAAAAGCACAGGCACGAACTTTGTGTACTCTCCATGGGGGCTCAGTAGAAGAGGGTGACAGTTAGGGTCTTCATTTCATTTCCAGCCTCGTATGAAGATGCTCGCGTTGAGACCAAAGATTGCACTTGCGCATGACTTGACATCGGATGCCATTTCGGAACAAGTGTTGCTGATGCCCCTACCAAACTATTGCATTGATTGTCATTAAACGATTGGAATGTACCAATAGATAGGCATACCTGAGATCCGAAGTTTTGATAGCTCATCAATTCACGTTCTTCTTCAGGAATGAACTTGAAGAGCTCGGCCCTCACACCATCCTCCATCAAGACTCCTGTATGCCAACACTCCTTGCTATTGAGGTCGATGTCTGGACAGGTGCGAGCTGACAGCGGGAAAAGTTCGATGTTGATCCAAAGGCAGTGGGTTATTGAGTATTTTTTCCCAAGAGCTCGTATGGTGTCTTTCTTGGCCGCCATCGCAAGATCATTTGAAGTAAGGTTACGACACTTGTGGTCTTTAGGTACTGCAGCCTCAAGGAGCGCATTCTTCTTTATAGCCTCATGGCATTTACCACGCAAGTTGAGCAATAGTCTCTGCGAGATCTCGAGGGCCTAGTAGTAATGATCTGTAATAAGAAATGTGAACTTTCTAGCAATACAATGACTTACCTTGCGCAGCTCTTGAGATGTCGCATCTGGAGGTGCAGGAGCAAGCGCAGTGCGGACCTGGATGAGCTCTGCATCTGAGTCGTCTGAATCCGATTCCGACGAGAACTCTTGATCAGTGCCCGAGCTCGACTCTATAGTTGCTGCGCGACAGTGTGCTGATGGCATGATGGCAGATGACTTCAAGTTGAACACGGAATAGAGGTGGGAGACTAGGATTATTAGCGTCAGTAATACATCGTGTTTATATCAGTCAAAATTCGCTTACTGCTGATACAAACATTCAGGCCTTGAGGGTACCGCATGTTGCAATATGTACAAAACCTGAACACGAGTGATATTAGCTGTGGCATTAGAATGGACCTACTACTCAATGGGGACGCACCATGTAATACAAAGCATGCGACGTCGACAGGGCATTCTTATTACGTCGAACATGGTAATACAATTGGAGTTTGGTGAATATATGAGTTGCAGAGGCGAATAAAAAACAGAATTTGAGGCACAATGGTAGAGTTCTAGGGTATAGTTGTTATTGCAATAGTCATAAATGTAAATGTTGGACATACCATTAAAACATATATCTCTGCGTATGAAGGAACATGTCGGAGTCCACATAATCAACGAGAAAAAAGTCTCCCCTTGTACTAGCGAAGTCTGGAACAAGTAATGCACCACGAATAACTGAGTGAAGCATGATAAACTCCGTCGAAGTGAGTGGTCGGGCATGAAGACGTCTCAGTCGCAAATCTCGATCTACAGCATGTTGTGGGTCCGTCGGAGCATCCATAGGTTGAACTAGGGTGAGATCCAATGTTTGACTGCCGATTGATTGCTTGAACATGAATAAAATGCGAACAAAAATGTTCTTATTATTTCCATCTTTGTCCTGGGTGCGAACAAGGGCACAGTCACATTGTTCACGGCCATGAAAGCTTGGGTTGCAGCGCAGGTGGTCGGTAGTAAGCTTCCAGTCCACAACAGACTCGTAATTCACTTTGAGATATTGGTGTTCTTGAACCTGGAGACATGTTTGTGAAAAACGGCGATTTGTGGGAGTGAAATATGGAACTACTAACCATATCTTGTGCTGAAAGCGTCAGCCATGTTTTGCCATCAGGTAATGGTATATTATATGCAGGTAGAGCGTGATTAAGGAAGGTCAAGAGCTTTTTGTGGAACTGCCCAAAGGCACGGTTGGACACATTGTCATTTTCAAGCTGTGCAAAGGTTATTGCGGACTGAGGAGCGCCAAGGTGAATATGTCCACCAAAAGACTGATCATCCAGGTCCTCTGTCTCAAGCTCTCTCTCTGAAAGTATGGCCTTGCGTCGTTCATCATCGAAATGATTGATGCGGTTGCGGAGGACTACAGAGACGAAGGTTGTGTGGTCAACCCTGAGTATCTAGATAGCAGGGGTTGTCAACAAGTCAATTAATGTGAAGTGTGATCAAACGTACTTGGTTTGCGATATCTTTGCCATTTGTTTGCAGTTTATAGGCCCTCTTGATAGGCCCATGATGCTTCTCATTTGGCTGCATACTAAAGTTTCGTGCAGCTCCTTTTGCCCTAATGTCAGAAAATATGTGCCTCATTGAGTGCACCTTCGGAAAATTCCAGTTTTTTGTCGCTTCATCACCAAGAATTTTGATATATTCCTGTTTGAAGTATTAGTGTCAAGTAGCGCATAAGTTGGTCTAGATACTAGGACTTACATCTAAGCACTTCTGGAAAACGAGAATCTCGGCCTCCCCAGCTGTAATAGTGCTTTCTGTGTGAATGTCAAATGTTATATACATGTAGGCATGAAGATAGCTGGCTATGCACTTTAGAAGCGCATAACCAGCTTCGTCATCTTTGCAGGTGAGCACATTCTGTGTTGTATACAATATTTGCTATCAAAACGAGAAATATGTCAGTCATAGCTTACATTTGATATAGTGCTTGAAAACGTACCTTAGATATATCCAGGTACTTGTTGCCATCGGAAAAACTTATGTTTGTAACGTGGTCGAAGTGGTTTAGGTTCCGCCATCTTGGAAATGCAGCAAACCTATAGAATGAACAAACTACAAGACAAGGGCAAAATGAGGATGTAAAGAGACTCACTGGTCATCAGTCGTCTTCTCAGCAGTACGTCCCAGTGTTTTCAGGTGGTCCTTGACTTCCTCGAACATGTGATCGCCAAACAAACCACTGTCATAAGCGTGCAAGGGATCTTGCGAGAGTGCGTCATGCGGGCTGGACCATTCGACAATCCATAAAGAGTTCTGACGGTTATGAGACCATTTAGATTCGAGAGCGAGAAAGTTGAATGAATCACTCACATCGACAGGCCTTAGACTCTGCTTTTTTAGTGCCACCTCACCAGTGGTATGGTCCATGTTCCACAATCGGACACAAGATTGTGCATCATCAATGATGCAGGTAGGGTATATCGTAGAATGGTTGGTGAGCTTGTCCTTCAGGACAAGGCAAATAGGGCAGGGACATGCAGAGTTGAACCCTCGTATCAGGGCCATCACACACCTGATAACATAAGTACAGTGGCTCAAAAAAGTGTCCCAATGTTTGTAGCTTTTCACGTAATTGCTATATCATGAGTCAAGACGTGGAAATATGACTAAGCTATAGGAAGATGTCGGAAAGGTCTGCTTCTCAGCTTCATTTCGGTTCCCTATACCGTGGGAAAGTAATGACATTATGTGAAGATATGAGTATTTTAATTTGATGACTCATTGGGACACTTTTTTGACTTTGAGTTTAACTAATGTAATTTCTATAATTCTAGTACTGTGTGTGACCTCCTTCTGCCCCAATCACTTCTGCCACTCTTCTAGACATATTGTCTATCAATTTTGGGTATTCCTCTTTGGTGATTCCATCATACTCTGCTGTAACACTGTCTCATAGTTGGAATAACCCCTATGGTGAATCTTGATATGCTATAAGTAATTTCTTGAGTGATTCTCAGAGGTATTCAATAGGGTTGATGTCTTGGGTCTATGTTGAACATGATAGAATAGTAATATCATGGTCTGCAGGCTATTGGTGGCTGATTTAGAGGTATACTTAGGGTCATTGTCTTATCACAAAACAGTATCTTCTTCATTAACTTATAACTCCTGCATGCTTCTTAGCAGACATTCCTGTCAAATGAGTATTTACTACTCTGTATTCATACTCCCCTTTGCTTCATAGAAAATTCCCATTCCATTTTATCTCATATAGTCCTATACCATCAAGTTTTCATCTTGAAACTTAAGGTGTTTATTTAACTTTTCTTTATCTTAATGATTGTCCTATCTATTTTAATACAAATTCCTTGCCATATGATCTCATCCTATTGATTTTGACCATATCTAACTAGATAAACCTCTTTCGGCTATCAGCAGTCTAATATTTGTACTTGAAAGTAGCATCTTGTCTTTTCTTTTTATAGGTTGGAGACAGAAGAATCTGTTTTTCTTGATTATAGCTTTAAAATGGGCTGTCTTGAGAGTCTGTCTGACTATTTGAGTAGAGATAGTCATAGGAATGATGGAAACAATCAATTTAGTCACTTTATTAACATCAGCAGCCTTTTAAATTAGAATATAGTGATTAAGAGATCTTAAGTCTTATAGAGCAACCTTCTAGATTGGCTACCAAATAACTTAAAGACCATAATATTACTATTCTATCATGTTCAACATAGACCCAAGACATCAACCCTATTGAATACCTCTGAGAATCACTCAAGAAATTACTTATAGCATATCAAGATTCACCATAGGGGTTATTCCAACTATGAGACAGTGTTACAGCAGAGTATGATGGAATCACCAAAGAGGAATACCCAAAATTGATAGACAATATGTCTAGAAGAGTGGCAGAAGTGATTGGGGCAGAAGGAGGTCACACACAGTACTAGAATTATAGAAATTACATTAGTTAAACTCAAAGTCAAAAAAGTGTCCCAATGAGTCATCAAATTAAAATACTCATATCTTCACATAATGTCATTACTTTCCCACGGTATAGGGAACCGAAATGAAGCTGAGAAGCAGACCTTTCCGACATCTTCCTATAGCTTAGTCATATTTCCACGTCTTGACTCATGATATAGCAATTACGTGAAAAGCTACAAACATTGGGACACTTTTTTGAGCCACTGTAACAGAAACAATGTGAATCTATTAATCACGTACTGCTCTTTGTAATCGGCAGATAAAATCAGTATTAGTGGAAATAACCAGCGTAGAATTCCATCATAGCATTGGTGCACGAAGCCAGTTTTGGAGATGAGACTGAGGGTTTTGAGGAGAATCTTGAACGATTTGTGCCATACGACCTTCTTTAAATTCGTATAGGACAGCTTGCCATCCTCGTCTGAGTCTGCAGGAACCTGCCACAAGGGCGAAATGATTAAGTGTGAATTGACGTCTTCAAGTATCGCAAGGACTTACTATTGGTAACCAACCCACTAAGTGTCCTCCTCCAGGACCATCAACATTCCTGATTTCAACAGGTAGATTCCTGCAGCGTGCGATTACTGGATATGCCTTGACAGTACCGGCCGACGAAAGGTGCGTTTTGTCAGCATACAGTATAAATGCGAATGGCGCACCATTATGGGGTAAAGATGTCTTGATTGCCATACACTTTAATTAGTCACAACGTCCATCATAAGAAAATGAAAAGCTCACTTGTAAGTTCCACCAGCGATCTCCTGTCCATGGCTCATGGAAGAAGTGTTCAAAATTGGTTCCGTCATGTTTGTACAGTCACTGGGCATCCCAAACAAACTGCGGTGCTAGCAAGGGGTTATCCAAGAGGTCCAATGCCCAGTCCCATAGTGGTCGTGAATATACTTTATACTCAATGTTTTCCTTCTTATACTCAACAGGTACAACATGTCTTTCGAACTGTTACAACATGGTCATATATATATGCAGGTGTGACATTATGCTATCGCTCTTACAGGAGTCAGTTGGCTGGATGCCCTCGTCCATGCAGCTGACATGTCATTGAGTTTTGAAAGTAAACTTTGTGCGACCATCCGCAACTCTCCAGATGAACTTGAGTAGTTCATTAGTTTGGTCTTTGCTCAAGGCAGCTCGGTGGGAAAGTTCAGCAAACTCGAAGTCTGCACAACAGCTGAAAGGTTGCCATGGCTTGTCATCGATGATGGGTGATTGTGTCGTCTCTGGCTTATTGGTCCCATAAACGGAAAAGCTCTCGACGATCGGAGCACGACCACTGTGAGGGTGATATTCAGTCTTGAATGTGTCGAGACGATCTAAGGTAGTTGCTGTGGCTGCCGAAATTGGAGCGGGAATATTACTACCCATGCTGATATCAGAATCAGAACCTGGATCATGTTTAGATATTAGTCAAAACAAAACAGAAAGAATAATACATATGTAGCCGCGCATCTCCCCCGATACTCTGCACATCATCGAGGCCTTCAAGGCCTGCGTCATCATAATGGTAATGTGAATCTGCTGCAGATGGAGAATCAGCTGCTGAACCAGCTGTCACAACCCAATAATGAATTAACGCTGGGCAGAGACTAGGACTCAAACAACAGAATAATCACACAGAGGAGGTAGGCAGCAGGTACGTCTTGGTATTGCTCACTTGGAGATACAAGAGGTTTGAACTAAAGAACTACTAACTACGATGAACTATCTATATACACATATTGAAACTGAGATTGAAACTGAGTATGAGCTAACTAACCAATCAGAATAATTAAAGGTATTGTATGATTCTATATATAACTATGATGTCATAACATGTGTCACAGCCGCAGTAAGACTCTGGAACATTCCAAGAGTGTCGCGTGGCATGACGTCAACATCTTCAGCATTGTCCGATAGATCACGTGACTCTGGTAATTCTACAATAGACACAATAATAGGAACTTCTTCAACAGTAAACATATTCTTAGGAACAGACAATGTGACTGGGCGCTTAAAGGACTTAGAATTAAGGAACGAATAATGGTTTGTATTTGGAACTCGTGACACCAGCCTCTTGAATGACTAGCGTGGTATCCCGGGCAGCCTCATGAGTGCGCCCTTTATTGCTGCGATGTTCTGATGAATCAAAGTTGATGATTTTGAATATAATCAGTGATTGAAGGTAATTTAGACAACATTGAAACATACTATGTTTTCCTTCCTTCAAAATTGACCTGGCTGCGGCCTGTGAAAACTCTCTATCCTCTTTCTTCTTCTCCTTCTGTCGCAAGCAGCTTTTCTCGTGTGATTTGAGGCCTCGGGATGTATACAGTTCATTACAATACTGACAAGCAACCTTGAGAGATGATGCTGAAGAGCAGGTATATTTGTGCCCTCCTGTGGATCTTTGGGGAGCCATTTATGGTATATAGAAACAGCACAGACAGATGAAACAAGCAAAGGTATTGTTCAGGAAGAGATCATCGATGGATGGAACATAAGTGGTATGCGATTGAAATCTGACCTTGATAGTGTAAGCCGCTTGCAAGACCCAGTCGTTTCCCTGGCAAGTTACCAAAAGAAGGTCACTTTCCTTCCAATACGCTATGAATAGGTCACTTCGCTTTCAATACGCTTTCAATAGGTCACGCTTCCTTGGAAAGGTCTTCCATCATGGATGCAATACGGTCAAATGACATCTCAATTTAGAAGCCTTGCAAGGCACCTATGGGAATTTCTGACATATGAGCTAGCAGGACCCATGAGAACCCCTTTGGAACCCAGGTTGGCTGAAGCCCAAATTTGTCCGGACACATTTTGAGGATTTTGTCTGGATGCCGTCCTGGGTCCACCTGAGGGGTGAATTTTGTCCAGACTCTGACCTGGGTTACCAAAAAATCTCAAAAAATGCATTTTTTCTTGCTCATTCGAACTTCAAGCGTCCAATGAAAGCTGTAACAAGCAAGATTCGAACTCTCGCATTCAACATTATCGATGGTGTCGTTCCGCAACACTACTCTACCATGTCTTCCATCTATCGAGCAATAGCCCATGTCCGGACTTTGACCTGGCATACCACCACCCCCTTCGCAGATGTCCGGACGTTCACCTGGGTTGACACCCAAATTAGATGTTTTGTGTCCGGACTGTAACCTGGGCGAAATGGTCATTTGGGTCAATTTTTGTCCGGATGCCAGCCTGGGTTCCATGGGGGTTCTCATGGGTCCTGGGCTAGCCCCAGGCTACAGCCAGTGGCAGTGTTTTGGCGATGGCAGAATACCTGAAATAGAAGGTAGCTCCCATCTGCTGTAGATCAGTCTTATCGCAAATATCAATGTAATACCGATGTGCGATACCACCTCCATGCAACGTCAAGTCATCAAGTCGTGTCACACCAACTCCCAGCTTTGAGAATGAGCAACAAAAAGCCCAAAGACTGGTGGTGGGGACATTTTGATACCCACCCCGGAAACTCCCTGCGGCCTATGCAAATGAGAAAGAGAGACGACCGAAAGTGATGTGTGGAGCATGCAAGATTACAAAGACGATTGATGAGCAGCAGAAGGATCGCGAGGAGTCAATTTGCGCAAACTCGGCTTCTTGTGAACGACTTTTCAGTCTTTTCGGCACAGTACTCACAAAACTTCGTTCACGTCTCAGTCTCAAAAGGCCTCACAGACTTGGCAGAATTGCGCTTGCATTTGCGAGACGAGTATATGCAGATGGGGGACAAAAAGGGCCGTCTATGTCACATAAGGAAAATCATCCCCGACCCACTACCTCCACCAGCTACTGTGACTATAACTCCTGCAGGCTCGGATTCTGTTCCTGATGATCTATCATCAGAGTCTGAGCAGCTGGAAACTCAAGACGGAGACAACAGTGATGACGACCACTCACTTGGGCACATTGCATCCATTCTCGCACAGCGCTCATTAGAAGACGAGGACACCATAGATGTGGGGTTTGGATTCAATGATATCCCCCTTCAACAACTTTTCAACTTCGAAGACGAGAGCTGGGTAAAAATGACAGAAGCATTCGGGATGAGATCAATTGATGATGAATTTGAGTTCTACGAGTTAGTTGACATGGATGCGGAAGGTGAAGACGACGAGCAAACATTCGATGACATGATGAGTAGTACAATCTAGTGTTTATCTACAGCCAATGATACCGCATTCTTCCAGCTTAGTAAGGCCTGGGCAAGCCAACCGCCGCTGTACTGCCAATGGCTAAGTCTATGTCTTGGATCTGAACGGTCAGGCCAGGCCAAGTCAATCCATTATAAATATTTTATTTGGATTTGTCAAGAAATGGAGTCAACATCAACAAACTGAAATGAGACTACAAGTAAGGCTAGCATAGATTTGGGCAAGAAACCTTTCGGTTTTTTCGACTGAAACACATCTTTGAGCTCTGCAAGAAAAGAGGCAAGCATGAGCGTAGATTCCCAGAGTAAAAGGAGCAAGACGACGCAGCTAGCGTAATGCTTGCCCCCAAAGGATAGTCGTAAAGTGACTCACCATTCAACAAACGGGCGGCATCGCGTAACACGTGAAAGGCTCCAGAATGGGACTATCGTGCAGATACGGTGCCATCACGACAGCATGTTGTCGGAGGTAAACCAGGAAAGCATCTCCACCCCAGCGCCCCATCGACTTCACCGTCTTGAAGGGTACCCCGCGCAGTAAGTACTCCAACGTGCCTCCAATCCGAATGCCGTGACCTTTTAAGCCCTCGATACCTGCTGACGAAGATGCGCGTTCCAACCATCGAAGAAACTCAGAACGAGTCAGAGGCCTAAGCCCATTTTGGTGACGCCAGCTGAATAGCGCAGCTTGTGGGGGTGGAGTATTGACTCGGAGGTGCGCCTCTAGCGCTCGCTGTGGATCCACATCCCCTGCTTGAGCAGCAAAGTATAGGTCTTCTCCGCCCGTCGACATCTTCGAACAAGGCAAACGAAGTACCGTTACTCGTAGTCCATGACGATCTTGGGCATAGTGAATGTCGGAGACTTTCACGTTAAGGGTAGGATCAAACCCGTTCAAAGAGCAAACGGTTACTTCCCCAAGCCGTGCGAGTGTGAAAAAGGATATGATGAGACATGCAGATACTGCAGCATCGAGCGGAGTGGAAAGATCTAGCGTAGCGCGCAGTCTGCTGATGATGTCAAGTGTGAACGGTTGACGTTTAAGACGTTTTGAAGGAGGAGGAGCTAAACGAGCAGCACCCGTGAGTGCAGATGATATCTGTTCCGAATGTCCCAACCAGGTGAGACCATGTAACAGATGCCAGGCTCTAACACCATAAAGATAATTTTCAAGTGTTTTTCCTGAGTAAACACCTGCACAAGTCGCAATGAAACTGAGGAGTAGTAAAGATGAAGCGGGACCCCGCTGATGCTTGGATATGCTGCGAGCATCACAAAAAACGTGATAGACCAACAAACCCGAGCCATAGACTTCTTTAGTTCCTGAGGCGAGTGAGTGTCCTATTACAGTTAAGATGTGATTTAGATCAGCCTCTGACAATGGGAGTGGAAAGCCGTTGTGGTCCAAGGCAACACGACTCAATAATGGATGCCACAGACGTAGGCGATCTTTCACAAGACAATGTGGTCTCAGAGGCGATGAAAGAGAGTGAGCATGGGGTTATAGGCACGAGGCTGCGTGGTCAAAGTGACCGGTGATGCGAAAGGTGCAGTCACCTGAAAATGTGAATGATTAGTCATTCCAACTATCTCGGAATTTCCAGAGCTCCTCGCCATAGTTCGAGCTTGTTGTCCCGTCAACCAGCATGTTAGAGTTTGAGTCCCGCCTGTTGAGGGCGACGTCAAGTGGGGAACAGGGGACATTGTGTTGGGAAAAGACATTGCTGATGAGGTGTGAGAGCGAGGCAGGAAGTTCAATGGTGGGGAGGAGGAGTTCTGTGGATGAGAATCTTCCTCGAGATGGAGCATCTGCTGGGTTGTCGCCACTGGGAATATATGATAAGTGGAATGAGGTATCAGTGCCGAAAGGTTCGAGCAGAGTGAGGATCCGACGGAAGACAGTATTGGTGGCCCAGTTTCTACTCTGGCCATTCTTCCATCCCTCGACGACTCCAAGGTTGTCGCAGTGGACACGAAAGTGCTGACCAGAGGTGGGGATTCCAAGCCGAATGATGCAGCGGATGAGCAATTCGAAACCGACAGCTTCGGCCCACCCAATGTCTTTCTCTCCATGGAGAGTGCACCATCCTGGTAACAAGGACCAAGCGCACCAAAACCCATGGATAACAACTGCAATTCCGATGCCAGAGCTGGCGTCGGAATAAGCATGCACGTCGAAGATGCCGAAGGGCTGAGAGATGGATCGATGAAGCCTGGTTTTGGAGAGTTGTGTGGTCCACCAGGAAAGATCGTCGGCGAGGTGGCGAACGGAGTGATGCGGCATGAAAGGACGTGCACTGGAGATACTGAGCATTGATTCCAGAGAGGTGAGGTAGGCACGTCCATGGGGCACCACAAGGTTGGCATGTAGCAACTTCCCATAGAGGTGTTGTACTTCAATGAGCACGTGCGTTGGCTGTGTGAGCCAGGAAGCAATAGCCGCAAGATACTTTTCCTTCTTTGCATCTGCCAGCGCAATGGTAAGCTCAAGAAGGTTCCAGAGAAGCCCAATGAAGATGACTTCATGTGCGAAAGGCGTGTCTTTTTTGAATTCCCAGGGAATTCCCAGATTGGTAGAGTAGCGATTGATGTCACTGAAATCAGAAGAAAAAAGGCGATCAGTATTGGAGCGAGGCGATATGCGTGAGAGATCCAATATTGGGAATTTACAGTCTTCGCCAAAAACTTCGGAAGTACCGTCTTCGAAAACACTGCCTTCAAACCAAAGTCTTCCTCCAGACTGATGAAAGGTACTAGGCAATAAAGAAGTATGTAGAGAGTGACGGTATGAGTTGTAACTAGTGATGTGCTGACATTCAATACGAAAGAAAAGATGGTCGTCCACCCACTTCGTGAACGGACCGAGTCCAGCTGCTCGTAGGAGGTCTGCTCCGGCATCGGCCACATAACCATAGGCACCCGCCGAGGGCCCCATGCCAAACGACGTGCACGTGTCAACACAAAAGGCATCATCATCAGTACGAATGACCGTAGCTGGCCACTGTGAAGGTAGCAAAGGAACCGTACGGTATGCTTCAGCAACATCTCGAGTTGCTGCTTGAGATCCTGGAACAAACCGTATCGAACGTGCCCCAAGTACAAGGAAAATCATCAGAGTCCACACGAGAGTTAATGGAAAGACAAGGAGTTGCAGGAGAAGGCGAATAGGGAAATGAGAAATTTTGAATGACGCGAAATCTGCCAGGCTTTCCAGACTTTGGAATGATGGATACAGGGGAGGTCTGGAAGTCTCCAAGGAGCGTGTGCAATTGTGAGCATGTGAAAGGCCCGACGTAGCGCCCTGTTTCGAGTTCTCTCTCAATGATGGAGTTAAAGGCTGTGCGATGTTGTGAAAGCGAAGGATGATTCGGTGGTGTCTGAGAGGCGGAGAGCTGCGGTAGATGTAGGTCAAAACAACGAATCTGAAGCCAGCGATGATCTTGTTGTAACAAGCGGAAAGGCCATGTTCCTGCAGCAAACTCTCCCAAATATCCACATTATAAGGGCACACTGGGAAGAGACGCCTGAGTGCGAGCGCAATACTGGGCTCCATGGGAGTGCGACAGACAACCGGAACACAAATAACATTCGTCATGAGAACACGTTGAGCAACTTTTCCCTCGTTGCCAATCGATGCAGAGAGGCTTGTCTGTGTTGCGCGTGAGGAGTTGCCGGTGAACACGTTTGCTGACTGTGGGAACAGAATTGTCCCAGATACGATCTGCGGAACACTCAATGAAAGAATGGTTGTTTCACCTGAGACAGACGGCGCACATGGCTGGAGGACGTTGTCCATGTGCGCCGCTGGAAAAACCCGAAGTAGCTCGGTTCGATTTGTCAGAGGAAGGGTATTGTTACAAGTAACATCGGCTACATGGCCCCCCCATCATTTTTCCCCTTCGTCCTCACCCTCGTATCCCTCCGGCTCGTACTTCTCTACCGACTATCCATTGACCGGATCCTCGGGACCGTTCCCATCCCTCGTCCCCCCTCCTATCGCACCAACGTGCGCACGTGCCTTCGGGCTATGATTCGTTCTGACTCGTGCCACCAATGTGGCTTTCCTTATCTTGTCTTATCTTTCCTTTGACTCGTGCATGCTGCACATTGTATCATTTACCGTTGGCTCGTTCCAACGTTTCTCAGTCTCATTCCGCATTTGACCTTACATCACTAATCAGGCTCTGCTACCAGCGTACCTATACCCTTTCCGTTTCCCCTTTGCCCTTACCTACAGTACGGTAGCCTTGCCCTTAACCCTTTCCACTTAGTATAAGTAGTCGGTCACTCTGTACTAGATTCCCTAACTTGAATCTACTCAATCTTCCCTCGAACATACTTCCCTCTGAAGCCCCCTCAGCTTCAGTCTCTAGTATCTTTTCTTAGGTGCTCATCGCGCCTAAGTCTACCTCGATCGACTACTCATCGTTCGGACAAGACTGTCCTTACTTTGAGAATGTCAGTGACTTTGAAGACATCTGTCTTAGAAGTCACGTGACACGCGCATCTCTGATATCTGCCGACTCGTCGTCGCCAGTCTCAGTCGCTACACCAGACCCTTCCGGTTACGTCACGAACGTTAGCGGACGACGCCCCTCTTAGGGCTCCACATAACAGATCTATTTGAGTGCATAACAGGTATTTAGAGCGAGCCAAAGGTGAAGCAGCACGCTGCTGCTCAGCAGGAGTGCCCCTCCGTTCATGAGTAGCATGGGCAGTGCTCTGGCCACCTTGTCTACCTCGACTCTGAGAAGAGTCCTCGCTGTTCATGGCGTAAGAGAGACCCTGCATGCGCTGAGCACGCGAGCAATCGCAATGTAAGGCAAAGTGTAATGCAAGTTGCAAAGGCAAAGTGAACGAGTAGCAAAGGCCACGCAACGCATAATGCACAAGACAAAAAGCATGACACAAAACGCAGTAGGCGACAAGTTGTAATGGGGACGAGTTTGCGAAGACGGGCAAGAAGAGAGGAACATTAGCAAAATGTCTGCACACCAGGAAATATTAAACACTGACCTTGAGATCATATTCCTTGTTCACTCGCTCTTGTTCGGCGTGGTAAAGCTCGTCATAGACACTAGACAGCTCTATGTTGTCAATGGTGGAGATATTCCAGGCCCCAGAGGGCTGCGGGATGGCTTGATGTCATGCCTGGCATTGCTGCTCCTGATACGTGAGCAGAGCACACATCTCCAATACATTGTCGGAGGTCCAATACTTATGTAACATTAAGGCGCTGAAGAAGTTAGCTAACATGATTATTCGGGTGTTGGGCCAGCCATGTTGCTCAAGGGAGGCGATAAAGTGTGGCACCGCACGAGAGAAATCGAGTGGAGGTAAGAGGTGATCAGGGATTACCCCAGCAGCTGGGCGTGCGGCACTGGCGGAGATCCAAGTGGTAGAGCCATTGACGCCCGCCGTTGCGACCATGCTGTCATCATCCGAAGTACAATAATTGGTCTTCGCATTGGCGAGACCTTTGTTGGTCCAGTAGTATAGCTCCACAAATTGTGCTTTGTCGAGTTTTCGTAAAGCAAAATCTGCCACAAGAACTTCATCCGTGGCCCATTTGGGGTGCAAACGATCCGGAATGGGAATGAGATGAATGCAATTTTTCTTCCTGTCTTCCTCAGCGAGAATAGCATCTTGCGCTTTTTGGGTTGGAAGACGTTGATTGGTAGCCTCGTCAAGTAGACGCTGTTGATCTGCTGCTTCTAATGCGTCTACATCTAGTTGTACTTGCCATTGGACCTTGAGAGCAGTGTTGGTAGCAAGCCAGAAGTCTCTCAGCGTGTCCGCCGCCTGTGCATCATCAGTGGTGTGATTTAACAGCGGAGTGCGACAAGCTTGAAACACAGCCGACGAAAAATTTGGACACTGTTCTAGGTTTGGATCAGTCACAAGCCGGTTCATGTTGTAGTAGAGTTGTTTTGATTTGAGATATCAATGTTTAAAGAGCCAAAACTAGAGGGAAACGATCGATGTACGAGCGCTTGCACCAAGCTGATGGTAGCAAGAAGCAAAGAGAGTTCTCCTAACCTTAATCAGACCTTACAAATCGGGGTGAACGATATTTAAAAGAGGTTTATATGTTGTACAAAATGTGAAGACAATATTTAATATTTAAACTAACATAAAGATGGGTGCACGACTTCAAATTTTGGTGGTGTTTTGTGTGTAATCCAAAATATCAAATATTCACAACCATATTCCCACAGACAATATGTCAACAAACATAAGAAATATAGTCAGATTTTTCATGTCTGCTTCAACTTAAAGTTCAATTTCCATGTAAAACTTTGGAGAAAACTTGAAGTTTTACAGATGACATGACATTAAAACTCGATTTAAATGTCAAGCTTTGGCAAAACTTCAAGTTTTCTCCAAAGTTTTATGTAAGAATCAAACTTTAAATTGAAGCAGACATGGAAAATCTGATTATATTACCTTGCGAAGCAAGGTCAGGTTCACATGGATCATTTTATGTGATTTCCAAATAATAGTAAATACAGTGACACCATACAACGTGATACGATGATGCGAACTTATCACCTACCTCCGATTTCCCTTCCAATACTTGTCGTTTTCTGAATAACAAAGTAATAACTTAGACCGTGCAACTCCCTCGCGCCCAGAGCTCCGCCCACAGGGCGAAGCTAGCGCGCTTCCCTTCCAATATTCGTCATTTTCGGACAACTCCCTTTTTTGTTAAAATAATGTGATGAATAAATAAAAATTAATCCTATAATTTTACGCCGCGCCCCTAAACATCGTATTTACTATCTATCTATCGAAACACCATGCAACCTAGCGTATTTGAACTGCTAAGTACCTCAGACAATCAATGTGCTTTCATTTTCAGTGAGTATAGACTGAGAATTACTGATATCGTTCTGGATCCCAGAGAGCCAAAGATTGGGAGCAACGCTGTGGAAGCAAAGAGAGCATTCTTGTGTTATCCCCCTGCATTTGTTATCATTCACCTCGACTTCTGCGATTTACCGCCATTGCACGGACTTCTGCCTCAGCACATACCAGTGTTACCTTGCGAAATTAAATTTTCCATGGGCACAGGTCCTTCTACAAGAATCACGCGGCGTCAACTCCCTGTAACACCAGCTTACGCATTTACCGACTTTAAAGCACAAGGACAGACGATTGATCACGTTTTAGTGGACATCAATTGGAAGAACGACATGTTTTCGCCTATCTCCCTTCAATGCATACGTCGCACTATCCAGAAGTCACGGCCGAGAATGCATACGTCTTCTCAGAGACTTCGACAATGATCTATTCCTTCAACATCCAAATGAAGACCTTCAGATAGAAGATAACAGGATTGAGCGACTCGCGGAGGAAACAAAAAAGTGTTTCTCGAGGACAGACAGTCTGACAGAAAACAAGGTACCATAGTGCAGTACACTGAAAGAAACAATGTAGTAGTAGCTATATAGTGATGTCAGAAGAAATCCTGGGACGAAGCCAGACTAAACGAGCACGATAGAGCTAGAAAAAGACGGAATGTGAGCAAGGTCCACGTCGGCAACGCCGACCCCTAGTTTATTATATTTGTTGACATATTGTCTGTGGGAATATGGTTGTGAATATTTGATATTTTGGATGACACACAAAACACCACCAAAATTTGAAAAGTCGTGCACCCATCTTTATGTCAGTTTAAATATTAAATATTGTCTTCACATTTTGTACAACATATAAACCTCTTTTAAATATTGTTCACCCCGATGTGTTACATAGACTTCGTTTTTTGCACGCGCTCGTGCCTCGCTCTTACATAAACCTGGACCTAACCAATTTTCGTGGCTAGTCAATGGCTGGCCACTGGCGGTAGAAACACTGCTTGGCAGCAAATCGCCAATTTGGAGGGTCACGCAAACGTTAACCCGCGAGTCGAAGCCATTACCTTGTTTCAGAACGACCGCCTCCTTGTGAGTGCATCATGGGATAAAACAGTGCGTCTATGGACACTCGACACAAACCTCCAAGTCGGTCCGCTCCTCGAACACAAAGATCAAGTATACTGCGCAGCCTTTTCCGCTGATGGAAAAGTGCTGGTCACTGGTGGCCGGGACAAAAATGCATATGTATGGGATATTCACGCCATCCTCAAAGACGCTGGCCATGAGGACCTACTATCCATTCCTCATGTGAGTCCAGGTACATCGTGCTTTTCGAGCCACGCTAATCTCTCACTTGCTGGTCCCAACTAAAAAGTCGTTAAAGGACGTACGTGACGTATCTCTTTACCCTGCCCAATCATCTTAAGATCGAATCCTAGACTGATGCCACCAGACGTCCACCTATTCAAGCACGTCGAATACCACCAGGTTTTTTCGATGACACCCAAGTGAGTCCTCTAGCTTTTTTGACCAGCTCTTTTTCTGACCTCTTCAGTCCTCTACAGCGCGTGGTACACGTACACTCTCCTGCACGCAATCCTCGCAATCTTCACTCATCCTTATCTGCCATTCCACGTGCTCTTCTCGCACGACTTTCGTCGTTCTTACACCCCTCTCACTCCAATGCTGATGGAGAAACCGAACTCAGGCAACTCCCAAGGCGCTCCATCTTCTCTCGCGATCCTCCTATCGTCGAAGTTGCTACAGTCCCGGACAAGAAGGTATTTCGTTCTCCTCGTTCATTTCCTATCGCCGTTACTATAAACGATGCTTTCTGTTCAGGCATTATATGTTGCTCCGCGGCCACGGCCGCAGCAGCAAATGCAGTTGCATGGCCAGGGCTCGTCGTCGCAATCTCAGCCCACCACCACACCTGCTCAAGGTACCAGCACTGCCGCACCAGGTGCAGCAACCGTGCAGTCACCACCCATTCCATTGTGGGCTCGTTTCGTACTGTTTCTCTGCTGCGCATCTCCACCGCACGCCAATGGTCATTAATACAAGAGCAGTACATGTACAATCATTTTATTTTTCACATCTTCTGTCAATCCTGTTTCCTCGTCGTCAGACTCGTGCAATCCATCGAAGTTGATCATGCTAATCGTCGCGAGAGCACCATTATACTCAGAAGATAGACTTCTAGGATCAGCCCAGGTTCCTTCCATCTATAGACTTTTGCAATACCACTCATCAGCTACTATGTAGTCTTTCAGTTGATGTTTGCAGATTTGAACCTCGGACGACTGTCTCATATCCATGCACCAAGTTCTACTAGTATTTCGCAGAATGCCACTCAGAGCAAGCCTCGATCTCGACAATATCATCCGAGCAATTTTCTTTTTGGGGAGTGGACCACACACGACAGTCAACTTACGCGTCGCCACTGATTCGAACGATAGGACTGTTCGCCTGTGGGATGTTCTGACGAAACAGCCATCATAACAATGCTCCATGTCAAATTCTCTAGCATTCTGATATGGAGATCGCATGATCGAGGCCATCATTACCATGAAATCAAGCACTTGGTAAAAGGATTAATACAAGTTCGCGCGGGTCTGGAACCAACAGACACTCTCAGTCGTGCGCGCGAAGGCAAACGTCTAAGTATTCACCTGGAACCAACAGACACTCTGCTCGAAGTAAGTAAAGGTAAACAAACGGGGATTGTAAAGTATCTCACCTCAGTCGTGCGCGCGAAGGCAAATGTCTGAGGTGGCAGTCTGAGTCCATAGCTAATTAAATAGACTAAGTGCTCTTGTACGAACGAATAAGTATCTGAGACTTTGAAACAAAAGATATAGGGCGCTGGCCCATGAGATCAATAGATTCTGTAAGTACAATAGAAAAGTAAATAACAAGAGCGGACAATAGAAACATACGAGTTTTGCCGAAACACAATGAACGAAACAAATGACGCGCCTCGACTGCGAGCGCGCGCTTGCTATTCCAACACTCCCCCTCAAGCTGCGCGTAGTCCGAGCTGGGACGCGAAGTGCTTGACTTTCGGTGATGGTAGCGCTTTTGTGAGCGTGTCAGCAATCATGTCGACAGTGGGACAGAAAATGAGTCGAAGCTTTCCTTCCTCGATTACCCAACGAATGAAATGGAATCTAATGTCAATGTGTTTCGTACGAGCGTGATACTGATGGTCTTTGGTCAAAGCGATTGCTGATTGATTGTCCGAGAAGAGAGTGATAGGCTCGGTGAATGGTTCGAAAAGTTGTCCGATGAAAGAACGCAGCCATAGGGCTTCCTTTGTGGCGTGTGTCGCTGCGATATACTCACTTTCGGTGGTTGACAGTGACACTATCTCCTGGCGTTTCGACGACCATGATACCGCTCCTCCGTCTATCAGGAATGCATACCCTGATACGGCCCTTCTGTCCTCTCCCATACTTCCATCGGCGTCTGCGTATCCAGTCAACACATTCTCTATCCCTCCGTAAGTTAGCTTTAAGTCTGTTGTTCCCAAAAGGTATCGGTATATGCGACGCACGGCGTCCCAGTGCGGTTGTCCAGGGTTGCTCGAAAAACGAGATACCGTAGTAACTGCGTAAGAAATGTCAGGACGGGTACCGAGGGAGGCGTACATGAGTGATCCAACAGCCTCGCGATATGGGACATGGTGCATGGCAGCGTGTTCAGCGCCGGTGGATGGTGATTGGCCGGAGTGAAGCTTTGTACTAGGCTCCATAGGGTTTGAGACTGGTTTCAGCTCCTCGAAGTTGAAGCGGCGTATGATTGAGTCGAGATATGCCTTCTGCGATAAGGAAAGTGTACGATTGTCGCGGTTGCGGGTGACTTCGATACCCAGCAGCCAATGGAGCTCTCCTAAGTCCGTAATCTCCACACAGGTGCGTATCTTATCTTTCAGCTTCGTGATGAGGTCCATTGAAGAGGCTGCAATAGTGCAGTCGTCAACATGGACTACGACGATAATGAGTTCGTCGGGTGAAAAGCGTGAGAAAAACACAGCTTGGTCAACATCGCATC